TTACCAGCAAAGCCTCCCTCGAGAAAGAGAGATTCATCCTGAGTGGGGTCAGTAATGAAACAAAGCATATGAATTAAATTAATAAATCCAAACAGCCATGGTCTATATGAGAGAAAAACATTTAAGCTTGGATCAGTAAATAAAACCCCAATCCATGCTGAATACAAGTACATACCTGAAACAAAGTGACTCGGAAAGGTTAAAACTTTTTTTTTTTGATTAGGCAAATACAAACAAAATGAAACCTATCAGACAAGGTAGAATTCAATCACAAAAGTATTAGAGAGACAAAGAAGGGAACTTATAATTTTCAAGGCTAAAACCCACAATAAAGATAACACAATTAAGAGTATGTGTGTAACTGCATGGAGCAACATACATCAAGCAGAAACCAAAGGATGTAAACAGAGAAATAGGCTGATTAAGAATCGATACACTTAGGGCTTCCCGGGGGCTCAGTGACAGAATCCACCTGACAATGAAGGATGTATGGGTTCCATCCCTGATCCACCTGGAAGTTCCCACGTGTCACGGAGCAACTCAGCGCAGCACCACAACTGCCGAGCCTGTGCTCTAGAGCCCAGAGTCACAACTACAGAAACCCGCACGCCACAAAGGAGTAGCCCTTGCTCGCTGCATCTAGAGAAAGCCCACACACAGCAATGAAGACCCGGCACAGGCAAAAATAAAGAAATTCATAAATAATTTTTTTAAAAGATACATTTAAACTAGCTCAACTCCTTCAGTCCAAGGTGAATCAAGTAGACATAGAAAATCAAAAATAAAAGATCACTAATGTAGAGCTAAAAGATGAAAATATATACTCTTATTCCAACAACAAAAAACCCTTCTTTTCAAGTACATGTGAAACATTCCTGAAAATTAACCACATACTAGAAAACCACAAGTTTCAAAAAGCAGATATAGCACAAAAATAATTCTTTGACTATAACTTTTAGAATGCTTGTTCCAAAAGAAGGGGAGAGCTGCTAAGCAGCTGGCCCCAGTGTTCTGCTTCAATTGTTAATTCAGATTTTGTGCTGTGAATTAATAAAGCCTTCTGTTGCAGGGAACTTCCCTGGTGGCTCAGATAGTAAAGCGTCTGCCTGCAATGTAGGAGACCTGGGCTTGGTCCCTGAGTCGGGAGGATTCCCTGGAGAAGGAGATGGCAACCCACTCCACTACTCTTGCCTGGAAAATCCCATGGATGGAGGAGCCTGGTAGGCTACAGTCCATGGCGTTGCAAAGAGTCGGACACAACTGAGTGACTTCACTCACTCATAATGCAATAAAACTAGAAAAAAAATGACAACAAAAATGGCCTTTCCATATGGAAATTTCAATTTTTAGGTAAAAGATAAAACACTTCATTAAATTATAGAACAAATGAAAATATCCATATATCAGGAACTGCAGAATAAATACTGCTCTGAGGAAAATTTATAGACTTAAGTACTTATGTCAACAAGAGTAAAAAATGAAAAAGAATAATTGAATTGTATATTTAACTTAAAAACTGAAAAGAAAAATGTAGTAAACAGAAGAAAAACAAAACCCCCACCAAAACCCCAGTATTAACATGTATTAACAGTAGGAGGGCAAAATGGTACAACCTATAACTCATATAAAATGTGTCTGGTACTGTGTTCCTAGATTAAAGATGTCCTTTGTCCCAAAAAGTATCTACATCAGGGAATTAACCTACAGATATATCTGATAAAGTTTTAGAAAAGGCAGAGGAACCAGAGATCAAACTGCCAACATCCACTGGATCATAGAAAAAGCAATATTGTTCCAGAAAAACATCTGCTTCTGCTTGACTATGCTAAAGCCTTTGACAGTGTGGGACACAAAAAACTGTGGAAAATTCTTAAAAGAGATGGGAATACCAGGCCACCTTTCCTTCCTGTGAAACATGTACACAAGTCAAGAATCAATAGTTAGAACTGGACATGGAAAAATGGACTGATTCCAAATTGGGAAAGGAATACGTCAAGGTGACATATTGTCACCCTGCTTATTTAACTTATATGCAGAGTGAAAGTGAAAGTCGCTCAGTCGAGTCCAACTCTTTGTGACCCCATGGACTATATACACTTCATGCAATTCTCCAGGCCAGAATACTGGAATGGGTAGCCTTTCCCTTCTCCAGGGGATCTTCCCAACCCAGGTACTGAACCCAGGTATCCCTCACTGCAGGCGGATTCTGAGCTAAGCCACAAGGGAAACCCAACAAAACTGGAGTGGGTAGCCTTTCCCTTCACCAGGGGATCTTCCCAACCCAGGTATCAAACTGGGGTCTCCTGCATTGCAGGCAGATTCTTTACCAACTGAGCTATCAGGGAAACCTATATGCAGAGTACATCATGTGAAATGGCAGGCTGAATGAAGCACAAGCTGTAATCAACCTTGCTGGGAAAAATATCAATAACCTCAGATATGCAGATGATACCACCCTTATGGCAGAAAGTGAAGAACTAAAGAGCCTCTTGATGAAGGTGAAACGGGAGAGTGAAAAAGCTGACTTGAAACTCAACGTTCAAAAAACAAAGATCACTGCATCCGGTCCCATCACTTTATGGCAAATAGATGAGGAAACAATGGAAACAGAACAGACATTATTTTCTTGGGCTCCAAAATCACTGCAGATAGTAACTGCAGCCATGAAATTAAACAACGCTGGCTCCTTGGAAGAAAAACTATGGCAAACCTAGACAGTGTATTAAAAAGCAGAGACATTACTTTGCCAACAAAAAGATCTGTATGGCCAAAGCTATGTGTTTTTCAAGTATTCATGTACAGATGCGAGAAATGGACCAAAAAGAAGGCTGAACGCCAAGAAATGATGCTTTCCAACTGCGGCACTGAAGATTCTTGAAAGTCCCTTGAACTGCAAGAAAATCAAACCAGTCCATCCTAAAGGAAATCAACCCTGAACATTCACTGGAAGGACTGAAGCTGAAGCTGAAGCTCCACTGATGCGAAGTGCCAACTCATTGGAAAAGACAGTGATGCTGGGAAAGACTGAGGGCAGGAAGAGATGTGTGTGACAGAGGACGAGATAGTTGGATGGCATCACCAACTCAACGGACATGAGTTTGAGCAAACTGTGGGAGATGTTGAAGGACAGGGAAGACTGGTGGACTGTAGTCCACGGGGTCGCAAAGAGTCAGACATGACTGAGTGACTGAACAACAACCAGCTCTCATCAAGTCCCTTGAGAATCTCAAAGTTACAACAATAGAAAATAAAAATAAAACACAACAACAACAAAAACCCAGAGAATTTTAAGCCAGGTAGTGAAAAACTTGAGATTTTTACTTTAAACTTACCCCACTGAAAATGTATAGACGTGAGTGGAAGCTGAATTTCAGGGGGCAGAAGATGGAGGTTGAGTAGTAAGACATGAGAAGTGAGAGCAAGAACAGAACACTCTTTCACAAGACTTGACAACAAGGGGAAAGAGAGATGAGGCAGTGGCAGAAATGAATGGCAACAGGAAGAATCTGACACGAGGAGGGTGATAAACGATGGAGGAACATACCAGAGGAGAATGACAGGTACACTTACAGGAAACAGAAGGGCTGATCTTAAATACGAAAAGGCATTTCCAGATAGCCAACAAGAACCTACTGTGTAGCACATGGAACTCTGCCCAGTGTTGTGTGGGGTCCTGGATGGGAGGGGAGTCTGGAGGGAGAATGGATACATGTGCATGTGTATGGCTGGGTCCCTTCACCTGAAACTGTCACAACATTATTAATCGGCAAAATACCCCAATACAAAATTTTTTAAAAAAATTTACAAAATTTTAAACTTTATAAAAAATATCCCGTATAGATCCCAAAACAATAAAAACACCTAAAAATAGAAGACATTTTCATCACTGAATTTTCTGGATTACAAAGAATAAGGGTGGAAACAGCTATTGATACAGAGGTATACAGGTACTGGAAAAACACATAGCTTTGACTCTACAGACCTTTGTCGGCAAAGTAATGTCTCATTACAGATGGAGGGACAAAGACGATGAGGGAGATTCAAAGAGATAAGTTCTTTCTTTTTATGTGGCATTAGTAGCCTTATCTAAAAAAGGAAGGGCTTCTAGGTGGCTCAATGGTAAATAATCTGCCTGCTGTTGCAAGAGACATGAGTTCATGCAGGAGACATGCTTGGGAAGATCCCCTGAAGAAGGAAATGGCAACCCACTCCAGTATTCTTGCCTGGGAAATCTCACGGACAGAGGAGCCTGGCACGCTACAGGCCAAGGAGGTGCAAAGGGTCAGATATGATCTAGCAACTCAGCATGCAAGCACAAAGAAGGAAAGGTTAGTACAAGTGACGTATGTAGGTAAAGAGAGAAATATCCTATCAAGAAACAGTGACGACAGTTGCTGAAAAGTATAGTAAGCATGTATGTGCTGTTACTTCAGTGGTGTCCAACTCTGTGTGACCCTATGGACGGCAGCCTACCAGGCTCCTCTGTCCATAGAATCCCCCAGGCAAGAATTCTGGGGGGTTGTGGTGCCCTCCTCCAGGGAATCTTCCTGACCCAGGGATCGAACTTGCGTCTCTTGCATCTCCTGCTTTGGCAGGTGGATTCTTTACCACTAACATCACCTGGGAAGCCCGTAGTAAGCATAGAGTCTATAAAAATATGATGGCAACAAACAAGGGTATATTATATATATAATAATATATATCAATATATTCCCCAGTAGAGTTCAGATCACTATTAGTTACAAGAAAAGGAACAGGGAGGTAAATATACTAATTTAAGGAGCTCCTAATGACAATCCATTTGCCAGTGGTGGGAGCATATTCCTTTTATATATATTAAAAATATAGTTTTGTTTCCTTCTGGGTAAAAGATAAAATAAGTATGGCTTGGATAAAATTGGCAAATTACAGATTGTGTCCTATTCTTAAAGAAAAATAAATGAAACAATATATAATCATGAAAAATAAATGTTAATATATTCAAATTCCATTGTTCTCACCAATTCGAGTGATTTTATTATGTGAAAGTTCAAGACTTTGGATATTGGTGCAGCCATCCAAACCGTGAAGAGAAGTCAATTGATTTTTATTAAGAAGAACAATGCAGAGATTTTCCAAATTTTCACAGTTGATAGTCTCAATATGGTTTTCCTAAAACAAAGAACAAATGTAATTAGTTTTATTTCAATGGCTTACTAATGAAACATTTAAAGCTTGCAGAAAAGAAGAAAGGTGATATACTTGAATTTAAATGATTATCTGAGTCCCTAACTTTTAAGATAACTATGTGGAATGTTATACTATCTGAATGAAAATATCAGGCAATCAAATAAATAATTAACTGATTTAAACTTATTAATAATCTTTTAAAATAGAGAAAAATATAGAGGATCAATAACAAAACATTTCAAACTATCTGAACAAGAGTGAACAATTTGGCCACAGCTGCTAACAAACTTACTTTAAAGAAATCAAACACTGAAAAATTTGAAATCTACCCATTTCCCTTCCTCAGTTCCTTTTGTGATGTCAATACCCTGAATTAGGTATATATCTTATATGCAAATTTATACTTTTACTAAATATACATATCTCTACAATATAGAATATTGGTCTCAAGGTCAAGATCATATGTCAGGGATGCAACAGCATTCTCTTTTTTAAGACTTCAGAAAGATAAAGTGAAAGTCGCTCAGTCATGTCCGACTCTTTGTGACCCCATTGACTATACAGTTCACAGAATTCTCCAGGCCAGAATACTGGAGTGGGTAGTCTTTCCCTTCTCCAGGGGATCTTCCCAACCCAGGAATCAAACACAGGTCTCCCACATTGCAGGGGGATTCTTTACCAGCTGAGCCACAAGGGCTTTTAAGAATCTTAATGGCACAGTCCCACAACACTCTCTCAAAAACATCTATGAGTACAGTCTTTGTTAACTGGAGTAAACTTAATAAGCATAGGAAACACAAAGAAAAGAAAATCATATTGGTGGAAGCACTGTAGGTCTGAACTGAAAAGAATCAAAAATAAAATGAAACTCTAGCATCCTGACTTCAATCTTCTATGAGAAAGAAGCAGATTGAAAAAAATTCTCAGCTGCAATGAAAAAGAAGGTATGCCTTGAGAATGGACTTAGAAGACTATTGGGCAGAACCAAGAGTCAGAGAGCACCAGTCCCATGGAGCAGAACCGAGTCCTTACAAAGAACTAACAGTATGTTCTTAGCTATGGATCAAGGGCTGCCATGAGCTTCCTGTTCTCTCCCAGACGGAATGACAAAGAGTCTTGTAATTAACTGAGTCCTGTCTGTCTCCCACCATATGTAGGTGTGAAACAGTGGGAGAAGACTACTTTTCCTTTCACTTTACAGATCTCTGAGTTGAAAGAACTCTCTCTGAGCAGATCATCTCCACTTGGATCTGATTTAGATGAGAAGATTCTGTGCTTCAAGTCCAAGTCTGATGTCATAAGTTCATAAGACTCAGGGGTCTTAGGACATGGGTCCTTTTGCATGTGGGAAAGATACAACTCATTAGGAACCAGGAAGCAGATTGCGGTAGATTATTATTTTGTAAGCAGTTTCCTATAAACCTCACAACCCAATATTCACACATACACACAGTCCCCTCCCACGTGAACTGAAAGTTTAGTGAATAGAACATAAGCTAGTATGATGCAGGCAGATGCTTGATAAGCCCTAGTATTGAAAACTGTCTTTTTGGAAAGCTTACCCTGTAAAGATGCCCAAGGTGGTGGTGGGGGCTGGGCAGAGAGAGACGCAGACAGCGAGGGAAACTTCAACCTCCCAAGGTACCAGACATATAAAAGAATGTATTTGGACATTCCAGCCCCAACTGCAAATTACATCAGACATCCAGGCAACACAGTATGAAACAGATGGAATGCCCAGAATAAGTCTGACCTCATTCATGGCCCACAGAAGTAGAGTAAAATAAAATGGAAGCTTTCTTTTTTAATTTACTAAATAATACAGTCATTTGTTATGCAGCAAAAAGTAATGAAACAATAACCCTATCACCTATGAATGAAGATAATTTCCCAGGTCATACCACCTAATCATCTTTCCTGTATGGCTCTCACAAATTTTGGCCCTTGATCTCTCTAGACCCTGAGTTACAGGCTATTTTATTAAATGTTCCTTCAAAATTGTCATTTCTTAAATGTACACCTGAATCTGTTTTATATTTTATTATAAAATAAATAATGACAACATAGGACACACCTGTGCATCAATGTACTTCAGTTTTTTGCAGTTACTCAGACTGTGCAAGGAAGTTAATCCACAGCGTCGAAGAGACAGAAACTGCAGATTTGGACACTCTGCCAGTGTGGAGAGACTACAACCTGGCAAATCTTGAAATGTTATTGTTGCAACCTAGAGAAAATCAGAAAGTGTATCATTATCTAAATATAATGAAGACAAACTATATTAACCTTGAAAAATTATTTTAAATTTTTCATCTGAAAGAAAGTAATGCTATATATTGAAACTCACTTTTATTAACAACTCAATTTCATTTAAGCTGACGATTTTGTCACATTTCTTTCCCTCATAGAAAGGCAAAATAATATAATCATTCATGAACAACTCAAGTTCAAAGGTAATACACACAGAAGCAATAATAATATAATCATTTTACTCCTTAACTTTTCACCAAATTCATTTTCCTGTTCTTCATGTCTCTTGGCATTATTTTCAGGATTGCACTATATAAACATTGAAGATCTGTATTTGACAGTATCTTCAGGATACCTGGATAGTATCAGAAGCCGTAACAGATCAGGAACAGATTTTATAACCAACCTGCCATGCTTCAACTAGAATAGCTCAGCTCTCTTCTAAAAATGAAGCAAGTTTAACTGAGAAGAGATATTATAGAACTTGTAATAAGTAGAAACATGCAAAAATAACTGAAGCATGCAATAAAAACAACATTCTATTATGCTTCTGTATTATAAAAGTATGAATCATCCTTTACCGCTGAATAATGTATATACCCAGATCACATAGAATCTGCCATATAACAAATCATGAATACTTATCATACATTTATAACATTTCCTATTATTGAGATAGCACCGTGTATTCACTACTTCATAAAGCTTTTTTCCTAAGGAATTTTTCTCTTTTTAAATCTTTTCAGCTAAAGAAAATTCAACATCAAAGAGTGCACTGAACTTTATGGTAGGTATATTAAGGACTACACTTATAGTTCTATAAGAATATGTCAGATACAAATATTTTGAGATTACTGAAAAGCACTCCATGTATTAAACCCAGGATCTCTCCCCTACGTAAACTTGGCACAGTAATAATGTAACGATGTGCTGCTTCTTCACTATAATTGAGTCTATGCCCTGAAATAAGTATATAAACTAAACTGCTTTACAGTAAGAATACTTTCACATTGCCACACTGGAAGTCCTAAGGCCAGATTTCCTATGCACTGAACAACAATTTAAAAATCATAAGCTTTATAGTGTATACTAGCATATATACTAGGGTATAACACATGCAAAAGAAATTTTAAGTGTTTTACTGAGACCGAAAGCATTGTTACTTCCCCAAAAAAGCTGGGGAAAGCATAAATTCTTAAGTGTGCAACTCCTCTTCTTGTGGAATATTTCCTGTGCAAAAAAGTTTTACATTTACATATTTGTGTCAGTGAATGGGAAGATCATACATTCATGGAAACAGAAAGAAAGGATTAGTCTACCCCTTGCTTTAAGTAGCAAAAGCAATAGCTGGTATTTTTTAAACATTTGGTGAATGAGTTTTCTAGTTTCAAAGTGATTTTAGGAATTTCTCAATTACTAATAATCTAAAACAACTTTTGAAACAAATTTCTTTTTTACAATTTTTCAGAAAGAAACATATTTACCTACATGTATCAGGATACCTGCTGGGTAATACCCCTATAATTTGTCCAAAGGAGATACTATAAATTCTGTACTTAGAAAACTGATTCTACACTAAAAAACTAAAGACACTAGAATCGAACACTTAAAAACTGAAAACCCTACCGCTGCAGCTTTGCAGTAACAAATGCTACCCTACAGTTTACATTCTCCTGCCAGTGGAATAGTACACTGCCTTGCTGCTGTCGCTCAGCGCTCGGTCGTGTCCAACTCTTTGCAAGCCCCTGGACCGCAGCACACCAGGCCTCCCTGTCCTTCAGTATCTCCCAGAGTTTGCTCAAACTCACGTCCATTGAGTCAGTGATGCCATCCAACCATCTCATCCTCTGTTGTCCCCTTCTCCTCCTGCCTTCAATCATTCCCAGCATCAGGGTCTTTTCCAATAAGTCGGCTCTTCTCATCAGGTGGCCAAAGTATTGGAGTTTCAGCTTCAGCATCAGTCCTTCCAATGATCAGGACTGATTTCCTTTAGGATGGACTGGTTTGATCTCCTTGCAGTTCAAGTATCCTCAACACCACAGCTCAAAAGCATCAATTCTTCAGTGCTCAGCTTTCTTTATGGTCCAACTCTCACATCCATACATGACTACTGGAAAAACCAGAGCTTTGACTAGACAGACCTTTGTCAGCAGAGTGATGAGTCTGCTTTTTAAAACTCTGTCTAGATTTGTCATAGCTTTTCTTCCAAGGAGCAAGAGTCTTTCAATTTCATGGCTGCAGTCACCATCAGCAGTGATTTTGGAGCCCAAGAAAATAAAGCCTGTCACTGTTTCCATTGTTTCCCTATCTATTTGCCATGAAGTGATGGGACCAGATGGCATTATCTTAGTTTTCTGAATGTTGTTTTTTAAGCCAACTTTTTCACNGGGATGGGGAATACATGTAAATCCATGGCTAATTCATTTCAATGTATAACAAAAACTACTGTAATTATGTAAAGTAATTAGCCTCTAACTAATAAAAATAAATGGAAAAAAAAAAAAAGACCCAGTGCCAAAAATAAATTAAGTTAAATTGAAAAAATTTCCACATGATGCAGCAATTTATTTCCTGTTGCACTCGAGATTTTCCCAAACATATGAGATCAAATAAACTTTTACACTAATCATTTTGATTGTTATTTAGCTGCTAAGTCATGTCCGACTCTTTTGTGACCCCATGGACTGTAGCCCGCCTCCCCCCGCCCCAGGCTCCTCTGTCCATGGGATTTCCCCAGGCAAGAGAACTGAAGTGGGTTGCCAATTCCTCCTCCTGGTGATCTTCCTGACCCAGGGACTGAAACCACGTCTCCTGCATTGGCAGGCAGATTCTTTACCACTGAGCCACATGGAGAGTCCAATCATTTTGATACATGCATGAAAATAATCACAGAAATAAAACTGCTTTATGCTCTAAAAATTAAAGTCAGTATAGAATTAATATTCATAGGTGTTTATCAGTGTATCATCAGCCTGATAAAAGAGCAACTGGGGCATAGTGAATGGTCACTAAATGCTTCTCAAATAACCTAACAAATGCATTATCTTTTTAGCCCTGTGGCAAAACTAAAATATTTACAAAATTCATAGTTGTGTTCCCATACTACCAAAGGGTAATATAAAAATATTTGGAAAACTTATATTTTCGGTCTCTCATGACTTAAAAATGAACTGACTCATAGAACCTAAGACTCATTCATTACATCTTGACAAAATATCACAAATTAGTTTTCTACTTAATCATCTATATTTCCCCCAAATCCTGGGCAGTTTTGATAAATAAAATGACCTAAAAGAGCCATATATTTTTTATAGAGTTCACTCTCAATTACTTATGAGAAATCCAACCCAAGCAGTGTCACTCACCTATGGTAAACGGTAATTCCCAAAGTAACAGAAGCAATGACTGTTACGCTTTGTGTCAACAAATTTGTGATGGTGTCACAACCTCAAATCTATTCAACCTAGACAAATAACATCGTGTAAAAAATCAGCTGCAAAGAGACTAAGTCTTAGGTATGATTGGTGGCTTAGATGAATGAGAATAAAACTTCGCCTAAGTCATGCATCAACACAACACCACTTAATTACAGTCTTCCTTGAATGAAGTGAGACCTTCTAACCTAAAAGTTAATCAGCCCCTAAAATGTTATCATCATCCATGCCGTATTGTGAAGCCATAGAAAAAAATCCTTAAACTATACCCTTTTTTTGCGGTTGTTATTTAAGGCTAGTTACCATTAGTAGCAAAATACTCAAAAGAAAAATGAATTAGTTAAAGCATTCTGCTAGGGGAAAAAAAAAAGTTAGTTGTCAATAATCACTGCTCTTCAGTTATATCCTTCTGGAATACTATTCCATATAGTAAATGATTCAGCATTTTCAATGTTCTAACTTATTTGATGAAATAGGCTAATCGTAAGTCCGTTGCCTTTCTCTTCAGATGTTTGAGACCCACATTTGACAAAGACTATTATATACGTTACAAGCCCAAGACCAAATTCTTCACATACAGTATTTAAAAACTCAACAATCCTATAAAGTAGGTATTTCTCGTCCCAGTTTACAGAAGACAAAACTTGAGGCTCAGAAAGAGCAAGGTGACACAGCCAGTAAATGGCAGAAAGAAAATGAGAACCCTGCTCTCACTTGATACATTAAAAATAAAAATCCACAGTAATGTTTATTTGTTTAATGCCTTTTTGCCTACCAAAGTCAGAATCATAAGGGCAAAGGTGGGTTTGTTTCTGTCCCTTTAATCTAACAATAAATATGGACTGATCATATGGGATAGATGAGTATTTGCTGAGTGAATGAATAAAACAATGTAGAAAATATTAACATTAATGTTTCCTTTTCTAGGTATCTTGCCTATATCAAGAAATCAAATAAACTTTATAAATATGTTTTGAGCTTAAGGCCTAAACATGTGTTTTTTAACCTTAAATCTTTCATATTAAATCCCTTATTGAATTTAATCTTCTTTCCTGTTTTTCTACACATGTTAGTTTCTGTCTTATTTTTGACTGAAACTATTTCATAAGCATAGAAAATTAGCAGCATTTGGTAACAACTACTTTAAATTTCATGTACTTAAATGTACCATGTTTATATAGCACGTCACTCAATTACAAAGGGAGCCACTAGGCGGTGCTGTGGTCCAGGACTAAAGCAAAGGAGCTCCAAGTTGAGTAACAAGCTGTAATTTTTCTATTCTAATTCAACTCTACTTTCCCAGATGACTCCATTCTTAGAAGCCTAATAATGGCTATAGGCCCCTTGAAAATAAATCAAAGCTCTTCATAGCGCCTCAATGAAGAAGATACACTGAATAATTTTAATTGAGGACATTTTTAAAGTACAGCTCCTCTCAAATAGGATAAGTATTTCATTAGTAACTTCATTGACTGAGAAAATTCTTGGATACCAAAAAAAGCAGACTCTGAGAAACAGAACAAATTAGTGGTTAACAGTGGGGAGAGGGAAGGGGAGAGGAAGTAAGTAAGTAAGCTACAAGGATATGTTGTAGAATACAGGAAATATAGCCAACATCTTATAATAACCATAAATGGAGTATAACTTTTAAAAATTATGAGTTACTATATTGTACACCTGTAACCTTTCGTACATCAACTATACTTCGATTAAAAATAAAATTTGTCTTATATAAAGATTTTTGAAGTTACATTTTAGAGAACCAATTAAAATTCAGTATGTAAAAAGTAGTATAAAATACCTGCTGTAAAGTATCCCAAGGACCACACCGAAGAATTTCTAGTGCATTCAAAGGGGGCATCGTGTTGACTGGGCATTTTATAAGTCTCCTTCTTCTAACAATTTTCTTCTGTTGATTTTGCCTGAAAATTTCAAACCAGGGTTTAAATGATGTTATCCAAGCTAGCCTCTTTTCTTCAATAGAAGACAGAAGTGTTGGCTCTGGCACAGAGCAGGACGCTTTATTTTCACATTCAGCTGTATTTTCATGACATTCTTCTGGAATTTCTTGAATCTGAGACTTAAGAGAGTTTACTTCTTTAAAAACCAAATCGTTTTTTGCATTATAGCCACCCAAATCTTCACAAGGAGCATCTACAATATAATTTTGCTTGCTTATTTTGCCTTCTACATTTATCACAGCATCATTAGTGTTAAAAACCAAGTCACTATTCAGAGCACAGCCTTTTGGGTTTTCCTCTGCTTCTTTAGATTTTAAATCAATTTCTTCTTCTTGTAGTAATGTATTTTCCCCTATATCTTCAGATTTTTCTAATTTCAGTGGTACGGGGTTTTGTTTCATTGAAACCACTGAAATTTCCTTTATATTATTTTCTTCATACAATGTTCCAAACTGTCCTGATATTTCTTTTTCTACTTTTTGCATCTTATTGTGTTGGTTATCATCAATTATTTTCTGTGATTCACTGTCTTTTACTTCATCAATTTCTTGATTATTTCCTAATATTATTTGGGTTTCTTGTCTCATAGTCTCATTTATGGAAGGTTTCAAGACTTCCTCTTTTTGTACTTGAAACTGTAATTCTTGCAGTTGAAACTCTTCTTTGACATTTTCTTTTAGATGCAGGTTTTCCAATTTATTTTTTTGATCTATGTTTTCATAATTCCTTTTTTGCTTGACCAATTCTTGTGAACACTGTACTGCTGGGTTTTCATTTTTTTCCTCCACTTTAAATACTGCCCAGATTGCTTGGCTTGACATAGATTCTTTTAATTGCACTTGCACCGATTCTTTCAATACAAGCTGTCTATCTACATTTTTCCTCTTATCTGACTCTTCAGCTAACCAAGGAGAAGCAGCTTCCCACATTTTTAACTTTCCACCCCCTAGCTTTTCGGCTCCATCATCCTTATTCTTTGATGTACCCTCAATAGTCAAATGTTTGGCATTATATTCTCCCTTCTTTAATGCTCTACTTATTATTAGCTGTTTTTTTGCAGCTTCTCTCAGTATCAATTTTTCCATCTTTAGTAATTGTTCCCTTTCTTGTCTCAGGATGTTCTTTTTCCCCATATATTCTTTTTCTCTCCTTTTCCTTCCCTCTTGCATCTGCTTTTCTATCTCTTCTTCTATCCTTTGTTTCTCCTCTAATCGTTTCCGTTTTTCTTCTTCTATCTGTCGTATTTTTGCTTCCTTTTCCTTCCACTCTTGTGCTTTCTTTTTCTTACTTTCTATTTGTTCCTTTATGATTGGGCCATATTTTTGGTAGGCCACAAATGCTTTATATTTAGCTTGAATTTTTACAGCTGCATTATGCTGCAGTTTTAACAAACGCATTTTTTCTTTTTCCTGTAGGTCTTTAAATTTTGTTCTTTCTTCTTCCATTTGTAAATGTAAGTTTCTAATAAATTCCTAAAATAAAGTAAGATATATAGTGGTCAGCATAAGCTAAATGTGAAATATTACTAAAGTATCATATGAAATATAGATTAAAACAAATATTGAAACTGAAATCATAATAAAGTCAATAGAAAATTTACTTAGAGGAACTAAAGTAATTTATTTAAAAGGGCATATTGATTTTGTAAAATATTTAGGAGCTTCTATCAATTTAGTAAGCTGATACTCTAATATTATGAGTGTAATTCAAATTGGGGAACTGAGGAATTCTTTGACGATAGAAAGCATATGCAGTCAGAATGACACAGAGAAAAGGCAAGAAAAGCCAAAAGCTAAAATTTGTGTAGGAGAAAAGGACTTCAAACTTTATGAGATGGGTGTTCTTTCTGATAAAAGAGACCCCTACAGCTAGCAGCACAGGGAATGCAGAAACAGGAAATGATTTTGTCAGTTATAGTATACGGAAGGTGAGGTAGCAGATACATATAAGCCTAGTTACATTTCTTATCCCGTCCATCAGGAGAGCTGATAAGCCCATAAAGCACTAAGTGAGGTAATCCAGAGTTGGGTGAAAATATCCTTGTCACTAAAGTCCTAAAGCAAAAGTAAACAGATCGACAGAGTCAGGCAAATATTTAGAAAAACTAACACAAATGATGTGAAGTGACAAAAACGCTTCAATAAGCAAAAGGAAGGTCCAATTTCTGAGAAAACTGTTTAAGTAAAAGTTAAAGATATTTTTAAGAAAGAAATGTTTAAATAAGAATCTCATATAAAAAATGAAATGCAAGTGCCCAAATAAAAATATATGACTCACTCAAACAAACAAACAAAAAAAATCAAGATAAAATGGTTGAACAGCTAAATGCCTAAACAAAACTTCAAAACTAGGTGTTTCCCAAAATAATAAACAAAACAAAAAGTTATGAAAGATATGAAGTTCAGGTGTAAAGGCGATCAACACAGAAACTTCAACATATGACTAACAGGAGTTCCAAAATAAAAAACCGAGAAAAACTGAAGAGAAGAGAATCATAGAAAAATGTTTTCTAAACCAAAAACAAAGGCCTTGAGATGAGTCAATTTCACACTCACACACACACACACACACACACACACACACACACAATGATGGCTCATATAGTAAACACTAACAATATTTCAGAACACTAAGGAATATAAGCTCTATGAAGGCAAGGATTATTTCTGTTTTAGTCACTGCTGTATCCTGTGTACTCACAGAGAGGTACCTACCTGGCACACAGTAGAAAACCAGCAAATATGTGCGGATGAATGCAAAAAGTGAAAAATCTTAAAGCTTCAAAAGTACTGAATAATGAGCATCAGATTTGCCATCAAAGACGGCATGAACTTTGTGCGTGCTTAGTCGCTCAGTCATGTCTGACTCTTGAGACACCATGGGCTGTAGCCCGCCAGGTTCCTCTGTGCTTGGGGATTCTCCAGGTAAGAATACTGGAGTGGGTTGCCAAGGCCTCCTCCAGGGGATCTGCCCAACCCAGGATTGAACCCAGGCCTCCCACGTTGCAGGTGGAGTCTTTACCAGCTGAGCCACAAGGGAAGCCCAGAGATGGCATGTGCAAAAATAAACATGCAATGGAGTTATATCTTTAAATCGCTAAAACTGAATTGTAATAAACCTCCATTCTGCATCCAAGAAGACTAATCATTCAGTTTTAAAAGCAAAATAAAGACATTTTCAATTGTGCAAACACTGAAAAAATTTCCTGTCCAAAAGTAAACTTTTGACAAGTGTTTAGCTGTATACTCCAAGAAAGGAAAACTGAGTCCAGAAAGCAGAGAAAGACAGGATTCAAAGAACACTAATCAAAGAGAGCAAGGAGATCAATCCAGTCCATCCCAAAGGAAATCAACCCTATATAAGGACTGATGTTGAAGCTGAAGCTCCAATACTTTGACCACCTGACATGAAGAGCCGACTCACTGGAAAAGACCATGATGCTGGGAAAGATTGAGGGCAGGAGGAGAAGGGGACGACAGAGGATGAGACGGTCAAATGGCATCATCGACCCAATGGACATTAGTTTGAGCCAGCTCAGAGAGATAGTAAAGGAGAGGGAAGTCTTGCGTGCTGCAGTCCAGGGGATCGCAAAGAGTTGGACACAACTGAACAACTGACTGTACAACAACAGTGATCAAAGAACCCTTACCACCTAGCACTTACATTTTTTATTCTGTGGTCTTTCCGCCAATTCATGTAAGGACGAACATCAGCTGTCCGTTTACTGTTGCTCCTTTTTGGGTAATGAGCTTTTTCCTTGGCTGATTTTAAGATTTTCCCTCCTTATCTCGAATTGTAATAGCTATACTATTCAATCCCCAGGTGTGATTTTCTTTGGATTGATTCAACTTGGGGATCTTTACTCATCCTTAAATGTTCAAGTTGAATTTTCTAAAACAATCTGAAACCTTTCCAACTATTATCTCTTTACCCACAGGTTCTGCCCCATTCTCTCCTTTCCTTCCAAATCACTATTAATGATATTTTATAATATTTTAATATTTTCATTATGTATCACGTATTTCTTCTTCTCTTTTCTGTTTTTCCCATTTTTGTCCTCTCTGCACTTACATTTGGGCATTTTCTATTGACTTCCCTTTAGTGTCAATATGTTCTCACCTGTTTTGCCAAATCTAAATGGCTCTCCTAACTCCGACATTTGGATTACCTGTGACTCACTATTGTCTTTTTTTCTTGTCATTCATATTGAATCTGTGTCTTCACATGCCTAACCAACTTTTTTATTTAGAGATGGAGAGGATATGCTTACTTTTTCAGGAATGTGTTTATATAAACTTCAAAAAGACTTGGAAAAATACAAAGAAAGGAATTTTTAATCTATTTTTTACTTGCAATTACTTAAAATAATCTTATATAAAAACTGCAGTGTAGTAAATTAGTTAAAATTTAATAAACGTGTCATCCTAAACTTAAAGGGATACTTAATACATTCAATTAGTTGCATTAAAGAAATGCAGTAACCTTTCATAACAATCCTCAATCATAATGAAATAATAGTATGTTTCCTCAAACATAATAGTATGTTTCCTCAAACCTTGGAAGAAATTTTACATTCACAGTTTAACATAGACATGCTCACTAACTGAACCAGTTTAGCTTCCTTGTCAGGATATTTCATTTCAAGGAAAGTTTCTAGTGACTAAGTATTTTTAAAACTTGAGTAAATTAAGTCCTATATCAACTAGGCAATACTATTTTAAAATACTCACTCCAAGCATAGTAATTAATTTCAAATGGAGATTGACTACTCTGCTGCTTACAAACAATACATACATACCGTGTGCTGTTTAAATCTCTCCTTCCATATTTTCTCCTCTTTATGAAGTTCATCATTCATCTTGTCCTGTTCTTGCTGAACATATAATATTGAAATATGATATTCAAATATCAAAAATATTATGTTTATTCTGTATGACTCTTACAAGATATATTAGTAAACAATGGTTAAAGATAATAACTCACCCAATGGCCTCCAGTTATTAGTACTGGAAAAACAACTTTAATCTCAACTTAAAATATCATAAAATGATACGTACATTTCCCATTAGCACATGAAGATATCTGTACTCTTGGAAAACTGTTTTATTAATTTGAGTATATTTACTCACATAATAAAATGCACTAGCTAGAAATACTCCTGGATAATGCAAATATTACAAATGATAATGTATGTTAAGATGGGTTTTGCATTACAGGTTTTTTTTCTCTCCATACTATTTCATTTAATTCACATAATAAATCATCTCAGAGGGTAATTGTTTTCTTTCATTAACTCATTATTAGCATCTATTTTGTTAAGGCTCTGAAAAATAAACAAAGATCAGTAACATATAATCCCCTTTCTCAAAAACTTTACCTTTAGTGATTCTAAAATGCTATCATATGTTCACACATTATTCCAAATTTAGCAGAATAAGTTAATCTCAAGATAAGAACAATAAGGATTACAGTAGGAAGAGGTGTAATAGTTAGAGGATTATCAAAGTTTCATACAAAAGATGTTTTTGAAATGACTCGGCTTTTAAGACATTATATAAACATTTGAGGCATTTATTAAAAAGTTTTTGAACTAGGAAAATGATTACAACTCAGTTTTAGGAAAATTATAAGTTTACATTTGATAGCCGTCAGTAAAGAATATGCCTACAATGCAGGAGACCTGGGTTCGATCCCTGGGTGGGAAGATCCCCTGGAGAAGGAAATGGCAACTCACTCCAGTACTCTTGCCTGGATGATCCCATGGACAGAGGAGCCTGGCAGACTATAGTCTACAGCGACACAAGAGTTGGACATGACTTAGCAACTAAACCACCACATTTAATAAGAGAGTAAGGCAAGGAAACAGTAAGGAGATCAGTGAAGTAGGTATTAGAGAAATCCATGAGAGAATCAGTCAGGGCCTTCTACAGATGCGGTCACAAGAGTCAGAAGAGATGCAAACACAATGCAAATGTGAAACTGCCACCAACTGCCAGCTGACTGAATCAAAGGAAGTGGGAAACGTTCTCTGGAAGCTATCTCATATGAGCTGTGGGAAATTCTGATGGCATTTAAGCATGGAAATAACATTTTTTGGAAAATAATTATCCTTCTGACTGCACTACTGTGCATGAGTTTCCAGAACACAAGACCAAAAGTAGGAAGGTCAATTCGAGAGTACAATAAATATTCCAAGCTACACATTAGGACATCCTGAACGATGGGGCAGCAGTAGACATACGGGTGAGACAGTGGATAATGTAACTATTAGAAGGATGGGATCATAAAAGAGAGAGAAGAGTCAAAAATAGTACTTAACTTTTTAGCTTAGTCTATGATGAGAGCATAGCTCATTGAAATAACAACTAAGGAATACCAGAGGCGGAGCATGACTCAGAAAGACAATGTATTCAGTTTTAGATCCATTAAGTTCTGAGTATGGAATAGTTACATAGTTCACTTTATTTTTATAACTATAGATTTGGTTCTGAACAGCCATTGCTGTGTTTGAGACTATCAAGAGAGAAAGCACATGGAATAAGAAAAGAAAGAAAAAAAAAAGAAAAGAAAGAACAAAAGATGGAATCCGGGGTAGGACACATTCAGGGAGCAGGAGAAAAAAAATTAACCTAAAAACAGATGCCAAGGAAAACTGGCCAAAAAGAAGACAATCAAGGTAGTATGGTCCCACAGAAGTAAAGGGTAAATGAAGTGGTCAACTGATTTTTACTGGCATGAAAAGGAAAAGAGGCAAAAATAAATACTGATTGGTGGCTCAGATGGTAGAGCACCTGCCTGCAATGCGGGAGACCTGGGTTCGATCCCTGGGTTGGGAAGATCCCCTGGAGAAGGAAATGGCAACCTACTCCAGTACTCTTGCCTGGAAAATCCCATGCATGGAGGAGCCCTGATAGGCTACAGTCCACATAGTCGCAAAGAGCTGGACACGACTAGTGACTTCACTAGGATGTGTGAGTACGGTTCTAGAAGTCATTGTATTTTTGTCAAATACAGTTTAGAAGCCAAAGTGTTTTTGTTTTTTTTTTTTGTCAAAAGCAGTTTAATTCACTGGGATGGAGGTGGAAGACACCTAGAAGGTTTAGGCTTGAATGAAAGATGAGGAAATGGATTGAGCACAAATAATTACTCCTTATGAAGCCTGTCTATGATAAGTAAACCTAAAGAGCAGCTAAAGAAAGATATTTAAACAACAGTGATCTCATGAGTTTTCTGTTTTCTTTTGTTTCCAGGACAGGAGAAAACTGAACATGAGTATAAGCAATAAGAAAGGAGAAAGTTGCATGACTATTTTAACATATAGGAAAAAAGTGAGAGTAATAGAGCAAAGAATGAAAAGCTCGCCTTTGGTAGAAAAAGCCTCTCTTACTGAGATAAGAACAAGGGCAAAAAATAAAGCTAAAAAGGCGACCACAAAGATTAATGCTAACTAGATGTGGGATTAGAAAGAAAAAGAAGTTTGTAATTGATGCAAAAATGTGATCATTTACTAATAACAAGGAAGAAGGAGCTGGGTAGAACTCTTAAGGAAAGAAACTTATAACAGCAGTTTTAGAAAATGGAAGAAGCTAACAAAGACACAGGTGAGAATTACTGAATATATAAATTACCTATTTAGAAGCCATCATTATAAAATTATGGAATGGTCCCAGTGGAAAACTTTAAAGCTCCAAGGTAAAACGAAGCACACATTTAGAAACTCATTAAATCTACTAATGTCATATATATTTTTAAATCATAAATTTATGATTAAGTACAAATTGCTTTCAAAAACTAAGTTATAATCCTTTAAGGGTAAGGCCCTGGAGTTAAATTTCTTTTGTAACATCAAGCATATAGCTGAAAGTTTTGCCCTTGAAGTAGTCAATAAATTGTTACAAAACAAAATAAAAATGGCAATGAAAAAAGAATTTAAAAATCAGCCATTTTTTAGAAAATATCATTAACAATCAATAGCAGTGATACATTTTACCACAAGCTAGGAAACACTACTCCAATAATCTACATTATATTAACTTCTATTCAGGAATGGGAAAAAAAAAAGCTTCTGACTTTTGAAAATAACTAATCTAGTCTGTGGGAAGGAAAATATGGACTAAAAGGAAGCTAAAGATTTGTAGCTTCAATATTAGTAAAAGTCATGGATAAGCTGGTTCTGCAATATTATCATTGTTTTTAATGTATTTACTTTCTACATAATTCAGAAATGCAATGTACTCAGCATGGGAGGCTAGGATACCCTGAACTGCCTATGTGACAACACGCTAACAGAAGACTCAAAACTAGTAAGTTGGGAGTAATACGTAAGTTAACTTCAGTAATGCAAAACGAATGTAAGTCCTGCCTGTTACCCATACAGTCTAAGGATCCTGATGGTCCACAAGTGAGTCCCAGAAATCCACCAGTTTCTCAAGATGCCACTACCATGGCCTGAGGATGTGGACCACCTGAGGAGCAGCTGGGAGAAAAGTTTAGAAAGGAAAACAACACAGAACTCTCTTACACCAAAAATGTTCTAGTCCCAGAAATTAGCTCATTTATGGGAATGCAGCACAACTATTACCTGCATGCCTGAACCACTGTAACCAAATATGTTTTACATAATTGCTAGATATCAGACTACACAGTAAGGACATTCTGTGATGGAGAAAATTCGGTTGCCTTTTTCTATGATTAGAAGGGCATAAAAAAGCAACAATTTATGTTGTAAATGTCAGCTTTTTTAGGACAGTCTTTGAAACTTTATACTCTGGGGGATCTCAAAATCCAAAGCAGTACCTGAAATTACAATGGATTTAACAGAAAATAAGCAAGGGGTCCATATTAATACTGTTAATCCCCAGTGAACTGCTTTGATTATTAGGGCTAATTAAAACCCATAGAATGGAGCTTGAGCCACACCATAATCCAAAACATCAGTACTGTTCAGAAGGAGTTATTGATTCAAAAAAATGTATGAAAAACAAAAATAAAAATAAGAAAACTTACCTTCTGAATATTCTCTAATTTCTTCTTTTCAACTTCAAATTGTTTCATCCAACAGTGTCTTTTTTCTTCTTCTTCTTGAAACTGCTTTTCTTCTCTATCCCTCTGAACTTTGAGAGTTTCTTTCTCTTGGTCTTCTAGTACTTTCTGTTTGTCTTGCCAAGCCTNCACAGCCTATAAAGAGAAAAAAGTTACAACATTTTTAAATATTAAAGGAAGACACAACATGTTAAAATCCCAAACTATTTTATCATCCTTTAATCTTAAATTCCTTATCATAGAATAGTCTTGAACAAAGCAATAGAAAAATACTGAAGAACCAAGAGCAGAGGAAATCTGTAATCTTTATTCAAAAATACAAGCAACAGATTTTTAGAGCACTCTTATCACCTTTCATATTTTAGAACTGAAGTTCACTTTCATGTATATAGAATAATGCTGTGTTTAAGACCACAATAACACCTTGACCAGAAATCAACAAAGGTTCAAGTCTATCTGCTACAAACAACATAATCTTGCACAAGATACTGAAAATGCTTTAATAAAAGTCTTAATTGAAAACATTATAATGACTAACATGTCCATGAAAGAAACTTTCATTCCCAATTTTGTGAGGTTTTGTTGAATTTTAGAGTCTTTTTATCATCTGTGAAGAGGTAGTTATGTTTCTTTTTCTTGTTCAATTAGCTTGTTTTATTCCTTGGTTGTAAAGTATTTTTTACAGATGACCATTCTGCGAATTAACTGACCATTCACAAGTATTTTGACCAGTATTAGATTTTCTTTTTCAACACCCATTCAGTCTCTCTGGCATGTTTTCCTATGTGAGAAGCTGAAAAGCAAAAAACAACATTCTCCAGATTCCTTTGAAGGTATGTTTCTGAGGATGATTTAGATTCTGCCAATTGATATATTTGTGCAAGTCTTTATTTTCATAAAAATATTATGTGTGAAGAAAGGCAGAGAGAGATACTTTCATTTTTCTGGCTCAGACTACGATAGAGGGAGCTTTGGGCTGGAGATAGGAGTGTATAGAAGAGGATTAATATCTCTGAATTTCTTCATTTTATCAGCAGCTCTTGCTACAGCACAGTTTCACAGTGCACGTGTGTATTTTTCCCTACACTTTAGATATTCAACATAGAATCTGATTTTTTCAGTTCTATTAACAATTCTGTTATTTATTGTAATAACTATCAGTAGCCTCCAAAGATGTTACTTCTACACTTCCTGGTGTGCATACCCTGTGTTGTCCCCTCCGGCACAGAATCTGCGCTGACCCTGTGTAACCATCAGGATGTAGTAAAGATGTTCCATGACTTTGGAGAATGTCATATGAAGCTTTACAAGGTACCACCTTAGTCTCTTAACAATTTATTCATGAGATACTCTTTCTCAAAATCCAGGTGCCATGCAAGCTACAGAGAGAGACCACATTTAGGTGCCTCCTCCAGCTGACGGCCCCAAATGAATTCCCAGCCAACAAACTGCATCAATTGCAAGCCATGTCAGTGAGCCATCTTAGAATTCCAGTCCAGTAAAGACTTCGGATGACTGTGACCCTAAACAACATCTGATTGTAAATGTGTAAGAAATCCAAGCAAGAACTACCTGGCAAAGCCCAGTGAACCTGTAGAACTATACAAAGATAACAACACACTGTTTTACACAAACACCCCCCAAACCTTACTGCTTAAAGTAGCTAAAATAGTTTTTGTGTACAACTGACAGCTTTCAGCAATACATCCATATTTACAAATAAAATTAGCCTCTAGCTTCTCTTATGTATGTGTATGCTATGCTTGCACAGTTTTGTATCTAAAATGTGCAGTTTTTAATAAATGAAATATAATCTGCAGATTTTGTGCTCCTTGATGAATTGAAACAATTCAATTACAAAATTATCCTTAGTTCCTACTACATTTGAGAAGAAATCTCTTTCTATCTTCTTGCCAAATTGCTGATTTAAGCATGTTTTCTGATTTTTCAAGCAGTTTTGATAATTTGAATTTTCTTGGAAAATTAGTCTATTCATTGAGACTATCAAACCTATTTGTTAGAGCTATCTACATGAGATCTTATAACTTTCTAAACCACTGCTATGACTTTAGTCCCTATAATCTTTCATGAAACTAATTTTTCTATATTTCTGTTGATTTTTACATAATCAGGCTCTATACTTGCCAATACATTTAACATAAATTTTCATTTTAAAAACCTTAGTAGACATAAATAAGCAAACTTCTAAAATCCACCACAACTTGATAATAATCACTGCTAAAATCTAAAGGGTCCTCATTGAAGAAGTCTTTACATATTCTTCCACATAGGAACTCGGAACAAAAATCTCGGAGCCAGTTTCCTCTTTTCCTTTCACATCAATCCATCAATATTTTTGGTTCTTCCTACTTAAAAATGTTTCCTAGAATATGACCATTTTTCACCATTTGTGTTTAAACTGCTATCATCTCTAACCATACTACTGTAATAGTCTTTAGACTCTTGCCACCTCAAGGCATCTTCACTGCACAGCTCCCAGAATGACTGCCTCAAAATACGTCACACTCCTTTCTGAAAAACATTAATATACTTAATATACTCAGAGCAGAATCCAACGTCCACACTTTGGATTTATAAGAGCCCTGCATATCTGACTCATTCTTTGCCTGACTGTAACCACAAAGGCTGACTATTCTCTGAACACATTAAGCCCACTGAGTGAGCTGTGGCCTTTACAATTCCCTCCTGGAACACCAGCTCTCTAGACAGCTACGTGACTCACTTCTTCACCAGTATATCCCATGTGGCTTACTATCTCATTTCAGTCACTACTTAAATACCACTTCCTCAGAGATGCCTCCCCTGACTTCACATATCTAAAATAGCAAAATTCGATCTCTACCCCCTTATCTTTTTTTTTATCCCCTTATCTTGAAATCCTCCCATCACAGGATGATCATTATTGAAATATTATATGTTTACTTATTATCTGTCTCCCAACATGGGAACATTAGAATAACAGAGCAAGATCTTTGCCTGTTTCATTCTCTGCTGTATCCTCAAAGTCTACGACAGATCCTTTCACACACTAATATTTTTGGTATAAACATCTGTGAATATCCACATAATTTATACCAATATAAGCATAAATGACACTGAATTTCATAATAACTTTTATAGTATACCATAAAACTTATGACCCACGCTTGGGTTCCTTTGACATAAAGTAACAGAATGTCTGGCTTTAATTAGGACTAGTAAAACAAATTATTAGTGACTAGTATTTATTGGAGATATAAGGAAGGTAGTAATTAAAACAGATGTGTGAACTAACTTGAACAGACCAATATAATATAGAGATTTTATTAGAGATAAATGCACACACCTGTATATGAGAAGAAATAACTTCAAGCAGTTTAATTTTCTAAATTATAAATTATTCATACTTACAGAAAACTTATCTACCAAGCAGATGAAAACTGTACTTACTTAAAACATCAGTATCCTCCAAGTCCTGAAGAATGAGCTCTTCAGCAGTTTTACTCTTATTCTTTATGATGTTAATACAGTGAAGAACCGACTCAGGAAGCTCATCTGAATCCTAAAAATGTGAAGAATAAAAGGAACTGTAAAATTATTTACTAAAACTATGCATCAAAATTTGTTTTGAAATGCCAAAATTTTGAAAAATGGGTGAATGAGGTAAAAGAGCTTCATATAAAAAGCATAGTCCAAACAAACACATTTGGTTAAAATTTGCTTTTCATTTTCAGATGGCTATAAATTGCATCCATGATTCTGTTGGAACTCATCCCCAAATGAATAATTTCAGAACTTCAGTCTTACTTAAACTAGCTATGGATAAAAAGACATAATAAAATATTATTTTTTCCTGAAGTATTATGTAGGTTATTGCAATCCTAATTAAAAATCAAAGTATAATTATTTCAAGAAACTTGACAAATGTGTTCTCTTGGGAAAAAAAGCTTAGTTGAAAAGATTTGATGCAGCAAAGCTACTGAAGAAATTTGGCCCATTTTATATTTAAAAATATAAAACCAAAATAGGGCAAAAATTAACAGAATAATGGAAAAGAATAGATAACTCTGGATAGATATATATATATAACAACTAAGTATATACAGCAGATATGACAAATCAATTGAGAAAAGGTGGATTATTCCACAAGTGACACCAGGGATATTTGCTAAATATTGCAGGGAAATTTTAATTAGACTTACTTTTTATAATATAGCTGAAAATAAGTTCCATTGGATTAAGAATTTTGATATAAAAGAATGAATTCATGATAAATTTTCTAGGTATATAAACACTGGAGGAAATACACAAATGAATATACATTCGTTTTACAAAAATGAATGTAACTATTTCTTTGGTAGAAAGATTTCACATACATTTTGATTTTTATGCATATCTAAACATATAACAATATACTCATGATTAAGTAAAAAAAGCAGGATACTAATATATATGTGTGTCTTCCCAGGCTCAGCTGGTAGAGAACCTGCCTGGAGTGCAGAAGACCTGGGTTCGATCCCTGGGTTGCAAAGATCCCCTGGAGAAGGGAATGGCTACCCACTCCAGTACTCTGGCCTGGAGAATTTCATGGATTGTATAGTCCATGGAGTCACAAAGAGTCTGACATGACTGTGTGACTTTCACTTCCACTTTCCCTTAGCTGGGCGGTAAAGAATCCACCTGCCAATGCAGGAGACATGGGTTCAATCCCTGGGTTGGGAAGATCCCCTGGAGAGGGAAATGGCAACCCACTCCAGTATTTTTGCCTGGGAAATCCCATGGAAAGAACAGTCTGCAGTCTATGGCATCACAAAATAGTTGGACATGACTTATAGCTAAACAACAACATATATGTGTATATACATATGCATAATTATATGAATAGTAAAATCTCAATTTTGTGAAAAAATGCACATGTACACACATGAAATTATAGGTAATTTCTCAGTATAGTTTTTATATTTAAATAAATACTAATATGTATTGTTTAAAGGTCACCCTAAGGGGAAAAAATTGAGAGGAGTATACAAAACACACTGAGAAAAGTAGTATTTCTCCTAACAAAGCTTACTTCAGTTGAAAGTCTCAAAAGTACAACACAAAACTTACTGTATCACTATTATCACTCTGGGTTTCTGATTTTGAATCACTATCAAAATCATATTTTTCCAAGGAAGAAATGCTGATTTTATCCAATTCAGCCTCTATTTCTTCTCTGAGCTTTATATCATCATCATCATTGCTTTCCATCATCCTTCATAATAAAACATAGAACCATTTAGAGAAAACTGAAAAGGCTAAATGCTAGTAAAAACTATAGGTTCTTTAATATGCCACACCAATCCAACATGTTCTATGTAAAAATGCTTTAGTTTAACAAAGTTTTATCACACCTTATTATGCCTATACTATATATTAAAGATAATTGCTTTCTCCCTCCCTATTTCATCCATTATTTCTTTAGTGTTTGAGTAAAAAATGATCAAATCTAATGATAATTCTCTTTAAATCTACTAAAGGAAAAGTTATGTGGAATGGGTTTGGCTTACCTTCCTTTATCAAGAAACTTCACACTAAAACTCATTTTCATGGTAATAATTAATGGCAAAATAACCGTGAAAAGCTTGAGTATTCAGAGATAAAAATACTTAGAACATCCTAGGTCTATATATGGGGAAATATTTGGCTAATTTGCACTCATTAAATCATAGTTGCCAATTCTACCAGATAGCCACAACAAGGAAATAATGAATAATATATGATGTATAAATTCAACATTCATTTAAATCTTTAGGCTTGTAATGGATATGGGTCAAGCAGTATATTGCAGAATATCTTCACATCATCATTGTTAACTACTGTCATTAGCGTCCATGTATATTAAGTACCTGTGACAAGCCAGGCAGTAGTAGACACTTGTGTGGTTGATAATCTCTGGACTAACTTCACAGATTAAAGGTCATTACAGTCATTGTATAGATGAGAAACCTAAGGTTGGAAGAGGTTAGTTAATTCCCCATAGCATTCTGCTAAAAAGTAATGGGAGTAGGATCCTAATTCAGAGATTCTGAATCCAAAGTTAGTGCTTTTCCCACAATCCAAAGGTATCCAAACTTAGGCAAGCTCATTATCTGCCCAGCAATTTTTCCAAACAACCAGTAGATTTCAAACTGCAGATGATAATTCATTCATGGATTAAGAAATTAATTTATCTGTTTTTGGTCATCTAGATTAAATGATGGGATAGGATAGGAAAAGCTAGGATAGGTCAGAAAAGAAACTATAAGTGTACTATATAAACTAAAAGTAGAAATTGTTTAAAAAACTTTGCTTCAATTATAAGTACATGTATATGTATGCATGTGTACATGAAAAACAAATTTTTGTTTTAATGTGGGTCTAAGTAAAAAGAAAGTTTGAACAATGCTGTACCAATCAGCTTTTATTTTCCAATTTTACTCATAACCTCCTTCATCCAAAACAAAACCAGAACCAGTGCAAAATTTTACCCCACAATCTAACTTACTTAAAATGCACTTCAAAAGCTTTGAAAGAATAGAGGGAGAAAAACCTTTGCTAGGTGGAAAATTAATTTTAAAAATGGTTATAAGGCAGAAGGCAGAGATACACAAAACTTTATGTAGAAAAAAAGCCAGAAAAATCGGGTAAAGGAAAGGGACATTTCCATCATGTGCCCATCTCAGCTCATCTACTGGCTCTTTAGATCAGTCCTATCCTATTACATACTTGAGCAACATATTTGATTTAAATTTTCTAGTGGCAATTTTTTTAAAATGTAAAGAGAGACAGTTGAATTTTTTATATATTAAAATATATATATATATATTAATTCAATCTATTATATCCAAAATATTATTTCAACATAGAGTCAACAGAAAAGTATTACATAGCTAAAAAGTTTACATTTTGTTTTGTACATTAATAATTCTTCAAAATCTGATGTGTATTTTACATTTAGAGCACATTTCAATTCGGACTTGCTGCATTTAAGCTCTCAATGGTCACCTCTAGCCAGTGGTTACAGAATTGGATACAGCAGCCTTGGATCGATCCCACTGCAAAGAGGTTAGGTAAACTACTTCAAGTTGATAATAAATCAATTGGAGTTGGCTAAAGGTGCCAAGCGAGCTTAGTGGGGTGTCTTAGTGGCTTAAGTGGGGAGTCTTCGTGCCTCAACTGGTAAAGAACCTGCCTGCCAAAGCAGGAGACATGAGAGATGCGGGTTCCATCTCTGGGTCCGGAAGATCCCCTAGAGGAGGAAATGGCAACCCACTCCAATATTCTTTCCTGGGACATCCCATGGACAGAGGAGCCTGGAGGCTTAGAGTCCCTGGGGCCGCAGAGAGTCGGACACGACTGAGCACGCACACAAAGCAGCCAAAAATGATAAATTAAGGAACCCCCCCTTCAATTACAGTTCTTCAAGTTCTGAGTGAACTGCCAAAATTTTTCAAAACTGAAAGGAGCCTCGCGCTCTACAGACTGGCTCAGCACTCCCTGGGCGCGCGGTCCCCCTTCGCCCTCAAGCCTGGCCTTGGGCGGAGAGGGGCCCGGCTCCACTTGCGCCCCCGCAGTTTTGCGGTGCCTCCCGCTCCATCAACACGCGTCTTGAGGGGTGCTCGCTCACCCAGCAGCGGCTGAATCCTCCAGCTCTGTTGGAAAACAGCGCCCGCCCTCCAAACAAAGAGTAACCACGGCAACCGCCAATCCCAAGGAAGATGGGCTTTACAGGTGCCCCAGCAGGACAAACTATCTCTATTCCAAACGAGAACGAACGCTTCATCTCAGAAGCTCGGTGCGGAACTTACATTTTATTCCAGGTAGATTTTAATATTTCATTAATTTTGGAAAGTATTTAATAAAGAAACAACACTTTCTTACAGCTACACAATTAGAGGTAGCCTGACTTTTAAATTGTCTCTTACTTGTTTTTTTTATATGCATCTAGTGAATGTTGAGTTGCTCGTGTATAAATTGTACATTCCACAAAACCTTACTCCTGAATAGTGATTTGCGTGGCCTGGAAGTATGGAAGAAAAGCCAATAAATTGTTTGCCTTCCGTGACGCCAGTTTCTCTTAAAATAGAAAAAAAAAAAATCTATCAGCAATGACTATCAAAATTTTCTAAGTGAATGGATGTGTAGGGTGAGGAATTAAAAAACTATATTCTGGAATATGTTTTACTGTAAAATATTGACAGTGACACACATTGTTTTAATATGAAATTTGAATTTTAAGCTTATATCATAACATTTAACTTAGAAATTCATAAAGTTCTTATTATTGGTTAAGCAAATATACTGTATATAACTGATTTTTCATTTGTTTAAAGTTTGCAAATGAAGCGTTAAATTCCAAGAGGAAGTAGTTAAGCTAATTGTAGAAGCTGTCTGATATACACTAAGCTAAAAGCAAACAATATCACTGAGCCTTTGAAAGAAAATAGACCATGTTTCCTGGTAACAATTGAATAACAAAATGTATTGTGTCAACTTAAGAGTTAATAATACAGAGTGAGAAATCAGTAGACTTTTGATATTAAAAAAACACATCACCTGTTCGTTCAAGAAAGAAAATGATTTTCAAAATAAACTACTACTTTTAGAATTAAATTTTGGATATTTTCATTATTAAAGACCATACTCAAGTAACAGTTTTCCTTTTTTTAGTTTTGTTGCTGATTTACAAACTTTCAAACTCTTTATTTAAAATGTTTGAACTAATATATTTTGTTGCAATTCACATTAAATTTAAAATTTTTTTGTAATTATGAAACTATTCATGCTTTTCCTAAAGAATATCAAATGCATTAGTAATCAATTAATTTCTAAAACTGACTTTAAACAACTAATTTGAAGATGTTGTTTGAATTTCTTTCCTTCTTAATGCTTACCTTGTCAAACAAATTAATAGCAAAAAGAAGAATCCTGGAAGTTCTTCTGAAGATTAGTTTGTGGGGCATGTTTCTACAACTCATACTTTCAAGTTACTTATTAAAAACAAACAACCAAAAAAAATACTTACTCAGGTTAAAGGGTTATGGAAAAAGTAGCATAATTCACTTAGGGTATAATTTCTAGGAAGAGTGCAAGTAAATAGATTTTTGCTAAATGCTGCATAGTTAAACAATAGTTTCAAGTTGAATTGATTTATAGTCTATGACTATTTGCAAATTGTTAGCAAACACTCACAATCTTTACTGGGTCTACTTCTCCAGCCTTATCTGTCATCTCTCACCACTCTACTCAAGCCCTCACGCACTTCACTCCAAAGCCTGGGAACAGTGTTCCGTTTGTATTGAAAACTTCCTCTTCTAACCTGTTTTTATCTATGTGTCTTTGTGCTCAGTGGTGTATATGACTCTTTGTGACTTTATGGACTGTAGCCTGCCAGGTTCCTCTGTCCATGGGATCTTCCCAACAAGAAGTGGTATATATTTAGTTATGAAGTGTTGTTGTTGTCTAGTCACTGAGTCTTGTCCAACTCTATTGCAATCCCATGGACGGAGCCTACCAGGCTCCTCTGTCCGTGGGATTCTCCAGACCAGAAGGATACTGGGGCAGGTTGCCATTCCCTTTTCCAGGGGACCTTCCTGACCCAGGGATTGAACCTGCATCTCATATGTCGCCTATGTTGCATCCAGATTCTTTACCACTGAGCCACGGGGAAGCCCCTTTTGTCTGACTGGAACCCTCTTAATTATCCTTCAAGGATTACCTCAAATTCACTTCCTTTCTGAAACTTCCCAGTTCCATTTATTCCCAGACTCTGAACCCCCAACACACAATTCAGAATTGGCCACAGGTTTGGTTCCCTAACCGTTTGTCTTATTTATTCATTGTGTGTGTTTGTGTGTGTGTGTGTGTGTGTGGGTGGGTATGTGGGTGTGTGTTCCTATCTTCTGGCACTTAGAAGGAACTTAAAAACAGTTATTAGAGTATTATTTAACTAATGAAAAGTGACACTTATGAATAGGTGAGTTACTGTAAATTCTCCTTCCCTATAGCATTTGTACTATTAAAAAATATCTCTGCTGTTAGACCATTTATTAAGGAATCAGGAAATGAACCAAAGAAATACCATACCAGGACTTTATTTAAGTCAGAAAAAAATTCTTTGTCTATAACAAAATAAAATATGTCTACCACGTTACAAATATTTACATAGGAACTGCACTAACTTGTGTACCTTTGTGTAAGCAAATCATTTTCACTGACAACCTTTTTAGTATGCACGGCTTATAACTGAAAAGATCAGCACAGGACCATCTCTTTACCATTCTGTGCAAACATGGCTTAGGGTTTCCTTGGCTGGTTGCTGAGACACCTGGTTTGATGTGTTCTCTTTAACTTGAACTGTTTGTTGTGGTCTGAATGTTTGTCCCCTCAAAACTCACATGTTGAAATTCTTACACCCAATGTGATGGTGTTGGAAGATGGGACTTTTAAGAGGAGGTGATTAGTTTGTGAGGGTGGGGCCCTCATGAATGGGATTAGTGATCTTATGGAAGAGATCCCACAGAGCTCCCTATGCCATATGAGGATAAAAGAAGTCTGAAACTTTGCACCTTTCATCTCAGACTTCCAGTTTCTACAGTTGTGAGAAATAAATTTCTGTTGACTACCTAGTCTTTGCTATTTTGTTATAGCAGCCCAAATGGGCTAAAGTAAAGTGAAGTCACCCAGTTGTGTCCTACTCTTAGTGACCCCATCGACTGTAGCCTGCCAGGCTCCTCTGTCCATGGGGTTTTCCCAGGCAAGAATACTGGAGTGGGTTGCCATTTCCTTCTGCAGGGGCTCTTCTGGACCTAGGGATCAAACTCGAGTCTCCCACACTGCAGGCAGACTCTTAACCATCTGTAAAAGCAAAACTAAACACAACCGAAAAATCTCTACCACACTAAAACAAAACCACCAACTTAAGTATGTCATGTAAAGCAAAAGACTGACATTAAGATGCATGACAATGCACATAGGCAGCATTTCTTCTATGAGTGGTTTCAGCAGCAACAGGAAATATGGCATGATTCAGTTCCAGCTTTTGAAACACAATAGCAAAGAACTCCCTGCCTCCCTACAAGATGCAGGGCGGGGGACAGTTTGGGGTTGCTATTGGTGAACCATTCATTTTGCTACTTGGCATCACACTTCTCATTCTTTCGTTCACAGTTAGTTACTATCTGCATATAATGTAAGTCTGCTAGACCATAAATTAGCAGCTTTCAGGACAGATACCTTGAAGAGTTCTTAGAGAGGTTAAACAAATATGTAGCCTAACACCCTGCCCTCTAACAAACATGCACTCAATGGAAGTGAAGTCTCAAGTGATGGATGGGACAGGCAACGGGTGGGGCTTAGTCTAAGCAACAAATCTAAGATAGCTTAGTGTGATCATGGGCTTTTGTCCATTCTGGAAACAAAGAAAAAAATAACTATCAAATGCCATAATCTCTTTTCTCACTTTTCAAATATCAACAGGATTCACGATCTTACCACAATGGTTTCTCTGTCTTCATGTGGTAGCTACATAATTTTTTTCCCTAAAATGAAGAAAACAAAGAACAGGCTGGTCTGAGTGATTAATCATCTTCCTCTCTATACTATCAAACCTCTGTGAACAAAAGCTTTCCAAACTTTGCCATTACTTTTAGAAGTGGTTCATTTATTATTGAGAAAGAACTACCAAAAGAAAAAAAAATCTAAATTTTTATCACATCCCCAAACCAATATTTTATTTTTATAATTTAGAATTGAACAAAAAAAATTATTCTGCAAAAAGAACTTTCAAACCTTCATCAGTCAGTAGTATAACTCTGGAACTGATCAAATTGACTTACTGTCTAAAAAGGGGGAATTTTAAAAAATTTCTGATCCTATCACTCCCAACCACATTCTTTTCTATCTATTCTCTTTAAAGAGAGAGAAAACTTTCAGAGTCCAAAGTTATTCAACAAGCTCTTTACTTCAGTATAAGTGAAGGGAAAAAAATAGTTTGACTGACATAGGTGGTGAAACATACACAATTAATAGAAAATGGTCTAAATGGACTAAAGCTCTATTGTTTTGAAGTTACCATGAGCATCCTCCTTAACCAAGTCAGCTGACTTTGAGAGTTCAGAATTCTCTCCCTCTTTGACATCTGTCTCATTCAACAGTATTTTGGAAATGATTGTTTTCTCATTTCATAAAGTCTGATTTTTAAAAAATCCAGGGATTTCCCTGGCTGTCCAGTGGTTGAGATTGTATACTTCCAATGTACAAAGCATGGGTTTGATCCCTGGTTGGGGAAATAAGATCCCACATGCTACACAGGTGTGGCCATAAAATAAAATTAAATCAGTAAATACATATATACATAAAAATATAAAATCCAAATTCCTAATTATGTAATTTTCTATAATCAAACCTCTGCTTATTGTAATCTATGGTTAGTCCCTTATCTCCTTCATTTATTCCCAAGATATCAGTTCTCTATGGATGACCCCAATTCTATATTGTCTATGCTTTCCACTTCCTGCCCTAAATTTCCAGTGCTTAACCACAAGATTTTCTTTTATCAATTCAACCTGAATTTTTAAATATTAAATTAATAGAATTTGTGAATTTTTTCAAACAATCCCAGTGATTATCATTATTCTTTTATTTTCCCATTGTAAAAAAAAATCTTTCTGATCATCTTTGATTCTTTTTTTATTCATACTAAAGCATAATGAAATATGTCAAAGCCGGCTTTTTCTCTCTCTGATTATCTCTCATATCACAATTTCCTGTTGGGCATTTTGTTTGGCTTTTCCCACCCTAATTCACTTCTCTCCTTCATTGTGGGCATATAGTTCCCTCCACTTCCAGCTGAGAATTGCCATGTGACTAACTGCTGTGTGCCAGTGGAAGATAAGCAGAAGAGAAGCATGCAACTTCCACCTTGCGTGTTTAAAAGATGTTCACCTGAGCTTACTCATCCCCTTCCTTTCTGCTGACTGTAGAGACTGCACCTCGAACAAATTTGGGAGCCATATATTTTAACAGGCTGGAGCAACACCCCACATGTCTAGGATGATTTCCCAGGAGAGAACCAATTACACATCTTGGACTGAGAGAGAATAAACATCAGCTTATTTTTGTATTTGGGTCCTTTGATAAAACATTTTAACCTTGACTCTAACCTGCTATTATCAGATCAACAGTCAAGCCTCTTGTTCAGCATTCCACACCAGAGTCCCTGTAGAGAGTTATCATTTATTAGTCTTCTTTCTCTTTCTCATTGTAGAGAAACAGAAGCCAGGATTTAGGGCTTAAGTAGCTTCCCTCATAGCTCAGCTGGTAAAGAACCCACCTGCAGTGCAGGTAGACCCTGGTTCAATTCCTGGGTCAGGAAGATCCACTGGAGAAGGGATAGGCTACCCACTCCAGGATTCTTGCGCTTCCCTTGTGGCTTAGCTGGTAAAGAATCCGCCTGCAATGTGGGAGACCTGGGTTTGATTCCTGGGTTGGGAAGAGCCCCTGGAGAAAGGAAAGGCTACCCACTCCAGTGTTCTGACCGGGAGAATTCCATGGACTAAGTCGATAGGGTTGCAGAGTCAGACAAGACAGCAACTTTCACTTTCACTTTCTTATTCAGACTGTAGAAGAGGATCACAGCTTTCTCATGTACTGCGGTAAGTAAAACTGAAGCCAAAATGTAAATCTAAAGCATCTTGGAAATAAACAACAACAACAACAAATCGGGCGGTCTTTCCCACTGAGTGTCCCATCCAGAAAGTCCAGGCACTGGAGGAATCCACGAATAAGACTAGAGGACAGAAAGTGGAGAAACCAAACAGCAGCAGAAGATTTCGAGGCAGAGGGTGGAAGATAAAGCCTGGAGACACTCTGAAGCTGTGAAGAAATACCTTGGGGATTTTTTAGGAGAAATATGGCCTTAGGATGAAGTAAAGAGGAAAGTGCATGGGTGCTGTCCTACACATCTCTTACTTTCCACTTTCTAAGGCATCTTTCAGTTCAACAGATGGATTGGTTTCTTCCTAACTAGGGACAGACAGATTCAAATTCGTCTTACTAAACCTGCTTTTGTTACTGAATCAAGCTTGGGTCCACTCGCTCACATGCAGTAAAGCCAATCCTCTGCCACTGGTTGTGCCAGAGGAAAGCACAGTGTTTATTGCAGGGCATCTAGCAAGGAGAACAGGCTGCTCCTGCTCGAAAGGTCCCAGGTCCCAGGTGGCTTTCAGGGAAGGGTTTAAAGGTGGTGTGAGGGAGGCGGTTTCGGGGGTATGTGATCGGCTCGTACACAATTCTTGGATTGGCTGGCATCAAGGTGAAGTCTTCAGCATCATCAATCCCTGGGTTTCAACCACTCTCGGATCTGTGTTCTTATGGTCAGCAGTTTTCATCTGGTGGGGACCTGTTTCTTATAAAAATAACTTAGGAATGTGTCAGGCCTTTGTTTGTATCTTTCAGGGAGCTGAGTTCAGTGGTTCTGCTGTGTGGCAGATTTCTAATCTAAATTGTTACCAGTTCCCTAGCCCAACAGCTATTCTTTGTTTCTACATCTTCACATTTCCTAGTCATTAACTCTTGAGTCAGCCTTTTGAGACTCAAGGGAGGCCTGGGAGACTAAAGCAAAAGCCTTTTCCTTCCAAGGACAAGGGTACAGGGCTTCTATGCTGTTTCACTTTCTCGCTTGGCACTGTGTCAGTTATCGGCTGCATGTGTTGAAACAGTGTAAACCACAGTACTTTTAAAAATATAGAGCTAGCTAGAACTGAAAAAGTGAAAGGAAAAAGGAAACCCAGGAACATACCCAAGAAAATGTAAAACCTACATATCTAATAAGCCAAGCACTCAAAACCAGTAGGATAAATGTTGACTTTTTTTTTTAAAAAACCACGTTGTTAGTTCTTTTCACTGTACTGTATACCAAAGTAAATTGTAAACTAGTTAAATAATATAATTAACTATTTATGAATAATCATTAATTATAAAAAAAAAAAAATAATAGTTATATAAATAAAAAAAAAAATAATTGATTGATTGATTCAACAAATCTGTATTTGTAACACATGGTTCCCACTATATGTTAGACTTGGGGTTATGATATACAAGATCTGTTCTCTCTGCTTAAGGGCCTGAAAGTCTCCGTAGGAAGGGAGAAAGTAAAGATGAACACAGGCAACAAAGCGAGATTAGGGCAAGGCTTCTGAGATAACAATCTTCTGGGAAAGAGGAAGGCAGTCAGATGTAAAGGAAAGATTTCTGGCAAGGAGAACAAGGTGTGTTATGACTGCAAACAAAATACTTTACTTTCTGAAAACTTCAGGAAATTCAGTAAGGCAGCTCTTGACATGTTACACAAATGCCCTTTGATCTCAACTGTCTGGACAAAAAAAGTGCAGATAAGGACAGACACAGTTTCAAGACACTCTTTAATATTTTGTTATATTCAGGAGAACAAAGAGGAATGTGATACTGACTGCTGGTGTGAGGGAAAATATGCAAATAAAAGATATGAGTAGGCAGAATTATTTCAAGTTATTACTGTGGTGTTTATAGTGAAAGTTGTGCTTATCTTTTCAGAATTATCAGTACATGCGGAGAAAAATAATGTTAAGGAAAAACAAGAGGTTGATTTTTAAATACTTTCTTAACCTCATTAATGGAGCTTTCTTGGTAAGTTTCTTCATAATTATTTAGTAAAGAAAATGTACATTTTTATTAGCAGATAGTTAAAAAATAAGTATTGGCTATTTTTTGTAGGTTCTGGGACTTTTACTCATGGGATTTGGTACATGGCTTTTATTAGATGGAAATAATTTTTTCACAGCTTTGGGTATGTATCTATTTTGCTTTCTTTAAATCAAACAAGGCATTCAATGTTAAGCAACTGAGTATGTGACTTAGTCAGCAGGTGGCAGTGTTTCCCTAAAATTCATTAAGTACTGTTCAATTTTTCCTCAGAAGGTCTTCATCAATTGGTTTTAGAAACACCTTATTAAATAATAAGACTTAAATCCAAGACCATAAAGGAGAGAGAATTTTAAGAGAAAAAGCTAGAAACTCTGGGCAAGAGAGATGAGAGAAATAAAGGATTGCGGTTCTGCTAACTCGAGACTTTTACAGATTTATAAATATTAAAAGATAATGGAGATCAATATAGTTTCACTGCCCAAGTTAAATAATCTCTTTTAAAACTCAGTTACCGGACTTCCCTGGTGGTGCAGTGGATCAGAACCTGCCTGCCAAGGAAGGAGACCCAGGTTCGATCCCTAATCCGGGAACATCCCACATACTGCAGGGGAACTAAGCGCATTCACAACTGCGGAGCCTGTACCCTAGATCCCGGAACCACAGCCTCCGAGCCCATGGGTCCTAGAGTCAGACAGTTGCAACTGCTGAAGCCCAAGCCTCAAGCCTGTGCTATGCAACAAGGGAAGTCATCACAGCGAGAGTCCCGCTCTCCACGGCTAGAGAAAGCTTGAGCAAAGTGGCAAAGACTCAACACAACCAAAAAGAAAAAAACCAAACCAACTCAGATACCATATCCCATCACCATCACATGGTTAGAAATATAATATTCCCTATGTGGAAACAACTGTACATGAATACATGAATGGATAAAGAAGGATATGTATATATATATATACACACACATATATATATATATACACACATGATATGTATATATCATTAGGCACTATCCCATGAGCTAAGGATACAGTAGTGTACAAAAAAGATAAAGGGCATGTCCTCACGGAGCTTAATTCCAGTAAGGAAGACTCGAAAACAGCACATAATTTCACTCCTGCAAACCTTCCCAGTCTCACCTGCCTGAAACTTAACTGCCAGCAAGGCTAAGTTTTCTAAACACATTGCACCGTCCTGTGTCTCAGAATGCTTCCATCGTTTCAATGTAGCGATTTCCAATTATCATTCAGAGCCTAAACTCAAGTGTTACCTTCTCCAGTAATCTTGCCTACCTTCACCTTCTCCCCCTACTGAATTAGGTGCTTCTCTACCCAGTACTGTGCCAGTAAGTATTCTGCAATGGAGGATTTTTTTTTTTTTTAATGTGCTGATTTCTGTGGTTTAAAGAATCCCAGGATGGCCAGTTTTAAGGTGCCAATGTGGACTGAGGTAGCTTACAGATCTTGTGAAAATGTAACCCTTGGCTTTATGTGCCAGAACAATCTTGTTCCAGCACACCACTGCACACTGCCTCTGGTCTTCTCCCATAAAACCTAGGGCATATTTAATGTATTCATTCTCCCTTTAAAAAATTATTTGTTAAGCACTACATCTGCCATAGCACTAACCATTTAACAGTTAGTCTGTTGACTATATAAGTATATATATAGTCTCTAGCCCAGAGAGCTCAGTCCAGATGGGGAGAGAATAAAATACACTTTTAATGGGGCCATATTAGCAATAAACTCAGGGTCTCATACAAAGGAAACTTAACCCACATGTTAGGCTGTTGGTTAGTTGCTTAAGTCATATCTGACTTGTTGTGACCCCAGGTACTATAGCCCACCAGCCTCTTTCTGTCCATAGGATTTCCCAGGCAAGAGTACTCAGGTGGGTTGCCATTTTCTTCTCCAGGGGAATCTTCCCGATCCAGGGATTGAACCCACATCTCCTGCATTGGCAGGCGGATTCTGTATCACTGAGCCACCAAGGAAGCCCACATATGTTAGGTACTCAAACTATTTTTGATGAATGAATGAATGAATACATAAATGTTTGGACATATGTTATACATAGAAGAATTCATGCAAGAAAAAGTTATCTTCTTTTATAGAAGACATTAAAGACAAAGTTAACGTAAAGAGATCTTCTGAGATTGAAGAAATTCTCTATCATGTCATTAAAGGAAGAAAAGTCCATAAGAATAAGTAAGAGGTGCTAGAATGAGATTAAAAAAAAGAAAGAGAATCCTAGTGATTTGGCAACAGCTGCTTAGGGAAACCTTGGGTTGCTGCATTTATTATTAAATAGAAAACACATATCACCATATCACTTAATAATAGCTATTTTGTGGTTTCCACAGATGAAAATAATCACTTGACAGTGTATATTTTTCGAATTTTGATTGGAACTGGATCTGCTATTCTTCTTCTTTGTCTCTTGGGTTATTTGGGAATTCACAATGAGATCAGGTGGCTCCTAATTCTGGTACGTATTTCATTTCAATAGTTTGAATTTGTAGCTTTGATTTTCAGTGTTCAAATTACACAAGTGAGGAAAAAAATGACTTATGTCACTGAAACATTGCACTATAATGGGCTCTTGGGAGCAAGGCAATGAAGTGTCCCCTCCCAGGAATCTTTGCTTAGGCAGAATTTTCTTGCTGAGTTTTCAGTGGACAAAATCTGGACCTCAACACTTAACACATTAGATATTAATTTTCAAACAGGGTCAACATGTACCATTGCCTAAGGTGAACTACGACTAACTAAACTTAAACATGAAGACTAAAATCAGAATAAAATGTGTTAAAGTCAATGAACACTGAAGCTTAGGAGGGAAAAGGAAACAGTGGCCTGTAGTTGGCACATTTTCTCCCTGTGGGTGTACTATATGGGATGCTAACTTATAATTGAGACCACCATATATAATTTAACCAAGAGAAATATAACTGCTGAGGGGGCCAGACTCTGGCATCAGGTTAGCACACTATCTCTCCCCAGGCATATACATGAAAATAGAACTCATAATGAGGAATACAAATCTGCACTTGAGTCATTTACCATAGATGAGAATGGTGTGGATCACATACCAATCCACAGATTCAGGTGAACTACGTTGTTGTTCAGTCATTCGATCGTGTCCAACTCTTCCTGACCCCAGGCACTGCAGCACACCAGGCTTCCCGGTCCTTCACCTTCTCCCAGATCTTGCTCAAACTCATGTCCGTTGAGTCAGTGATGCCATTCAACCGTCTCATCCTCTTGTCATCCCCTTCTCCTCCTGTCTTCAATCTTTCCCAGCATCAGGGTCTTTTCTAATGAGTAGGCTCTCTTCTCATCTGGTAACTAAAGTATTGGAGTTTCAGCTTCAACATCATTCCTTCCAATGAATATTCAAGACTGATTTGATTAACTGGTTTGATCTTGCAATCCAAGGGACTCTCAAGAGTCTTATACAACACCACAGTTCAAAAGCATCAGTTCTTTGGCACTCAGCCTTCTTTATGGTCCAATTTTCACATTCATACATAACTACTGGAAAAATCATACCTTTGACTAGACCGACCTTTGTTGGCAAAGTAATGTCTCTGCTTTTCAATATGCTGTATAGGTTGGTCATAACTTTTCTTCCAAGGAGCAAGCGTCTTTTAATTTCATGACTGCAGTCACCATCTTCAGTGATTTTTGGAGCCCCCCAAAATAAAGTCTGTCACTGTTTCCATTGTTTCCACATCTATTTGGCATAAAGTGATGGGACCAGATGCCATGATCTTAGTTTTTTGAATGTTGAGTTTTAAACCAGCCTTTTCACTCTCCTCTTTCACTTTCATCAAGGGGCTCTTTAGTTACACTTTGCTTTCTGCCACAAGGGTGGTGCCATCTACATATCTGAGGTTATTGTTATTTCTCCTGGCAATCTTGATTCCAGCTTGTGCTTTATCCAGTCCAGCATTTTGCATGATGTACTCTGCATATAAGTGAAATAAGCAGGGTGACAATACGCATCCTTGACATACTCCTTTTCCTATTTGGAACCAGTCTGTTGTTCCATGTTCGGTTCTAACTGTTGCTTCCTGACCTGCATGCAGGATTCTCAGGAGGCAGGTAAGGTGGTCTGGTATTCCCATCTGTTTAAGAATTTTCCACAGTTTGTTGTGATCCACACAGTCAAAGAGTTTAGAGTAATCAGTGAAGCAGATGTTTTTCCTAAAACGTCCTGTCATGTTTTTTGTTGTTTTTTTTTATGATCCAACGGATGTTGGCAATTTGTTTCCTCTGCCTTTTCTAAATCCAGCTTGAACATCTGGAAGTTCTCGGTTTACGTACTCTTGAGCGTGGTTTGGAGAATTTTGAGCATTACTTTACTAGCGTGTGAGATGAGTGCAATTGTGCAGTAATTTGAACATTCTCTGGCATTGTCTTTCTTTGGGATTGAAGTGAAAACTGACCTTTTCCTGTCCTGTGGCCACTGCTGAGTTTTCCATATTTGCTGGCATATTGAGTGCAGCACTTTAAAGCGTCATCTTTTAGGATTTAAAATAGCTCAACTGGAATTCCATTACCTCCACTAGCTTTGTTCATAGTGATGCTTCCTAAGGCCCACTTGAACGCACTCCAAGATGTCTGGCTCTAGGTGAGTGATCACACCATTGTGGTTATCTGGGACATTAAAATCTTTTTTGTATAGTTTTTCTGTATGTTCTTTCCACCTCTTCTTAATATCTTCTTCATCATATCTTCAGATGAAATATAGCTTTTAACATTTTCTTTAAATCAAATTGGAGAAGGACATGGCAACCCACTCCAGTATTCTTGCCCTGGGAAATCGCATGGACAGAGGATCCTGGTGGGCTACAGCCCATGGGGTCGCAAAAGAGTCGGACGTGACTTAGCGACTATGTGACTGCATCAGGTTTTAGTTGCAGCCTATGGGCTCTTCAGTTGTTTCATGTGGGATCTAGTTTGCTGACCAGGGATCGAACCCAGGACCCCTTCATTGGGATCTCGGAGTCTTAGCCATTGGGCCGCCAGGAAGTCCTCAAATCGGTTTTAATTCACAGGCACTTTCCTGTGATAGGAAATTGAAATCTAGCAATGGTGCCTCTTGCCAAGAATACCTAACTCTTATGTCGCACAAAAAGTCCTGGTGATCACTCTGGATTCTGTTATCAGTCTACACCAGTTACCATAAAAGCGCTCCCTTTCCCGGCTGATGTGGTTCCTTCAGGACTGAGCATTTGCTGTTTGGATGGCCTGGAGCAGCAAAACCAGGGTTGCTCTTCATCAGTATATACCAGTACAGGCATATCGGTGAAATTCTTTTGTGAAGGACTGGTAAGGGACCATTACCTCAGTTCCTTTCCTGCAGTTTACTTCCCCTGAAACCTGAGACAGTCAACCCTGCCAATGACACAGCAATTGAAGGAGTCCTGCCTGGTAGAGGAATTAGTTGATGCCTATTGTTAGTAATTGCTGCTTCTTGTTATTTGAATATTACCCAGGGCAGAAGCATTTTAGGCAGATTTGGAAACCACACCTTCATTTCCCTCTGGGGTCTTGCCACCTTATCCTGGAAAAAAAGACCTCACTCTCTTCTTATTCTTCTCAAAGGCACACCTTTAGCTCTCAAATTTTATCTTTCTTTTATTCTGGGGGCTCTAGCATAATTTTCTCATGGGACTTCTGATTTTGGATATGAAAACTGGGACAGAAATGGCTTGCAGGAAAATTTTAGTCTTATTTCTGTAGACATCTAACTGAGGTTAAAAGATAATAATTTTCAAGGATAAAATCATGACTTACCTGTATGAAAATGAACATGTGTCAGAGACTTTGTTTAAATAATTAATTATAGGGGAACCAGTAAGAAGTCACAACTGGTTTAAATGAGAATTAGACTTGTGGAGATTTATATTTTCTATAAACTGTATTCATTTGTATTTTCGTGAATAGTAATCATTTGCATTATGATGGGGCTTTTGTATTATTGATACTATCAGAGTTCTGTAAATTAACTCTCTACAGAGTTGAATAATAGCTTAGGCAAATGTAACATTTCATATTACCATTGAATCAGAAACCAGCAAGGGTCCACTAGACCTCAACCAGCTTGCCATTGAAAAGAAACCCAGTAACTTAAAAAACAAAAAATTGTTTTGCACATTTTCTCTGTCTCTACCTGTCTTCACCACTATTTCTTGATAATGAAGATTAAGTGAGGTATTGTGTTTAGAAGTATTAAAAACCTAAAATTCTAAACAGATCTAAAGACAAAACTTATTTTTGTCCCTGAAAATAGGAAACACAATTTATGTCGAGTAAGCAATGTTAATGGACTGTTTTAAAGTATTAAATGCTTAAAATATGTAAAACTAATAATACTAACTAAATCATTCTTGTATTTTATTTAGTAAAATATTCAGACACATCACTTTAGAAGTTATTTTGAATTCTAGATAATATGTAACACTGTACTGCTATAATGAAGAAGATTGCAGTGGCCATAAATTTTAAAACAAGAAAAGAGTCAAATAATGCAAAAATCATTTTGTTTGGCTTTGAAGTAGTTTTAGTTTTCAAAGCAATAGTCCAAATGTGCGTATAGACTCTACTATTGCCGTTGCCTTTGTTACTTTCTCATTATTTTCTTGTTGTTAAGGCTGTCATTACTTTGTGCATGATGGAATAGTTCATATCTGGTCACAATTTAGTGAGTTCTGTAGTGTTAGAGGAGTGGTGTTAAGTAGAAGTCAAGATATTTAAATTCCCCTCTATGAGTTTTAGATCTGAATGAAGAGGGTATTATTATCAACTCCATTAGACCAAATAGTCTGTTAGAGTTCTCATGAAATATTTTCACTTCTTTCTATCTTGCTCTTATCCAAATGTTCATTGATTTTTTTTGCCTTTTGATGTAATGATTTCACTCATGTATATGAGAACAGGAAACTTCAGTAATACCCATGTATATTTTAAGACTGCATATTTCATATGATGTGCATTTTCCATCACTGTAGTATCTAAAAAATATATTAGGAGCATGGTTCTCATCTCTCTGTTTCTTTTCTCGTAGTATGCAGTATTGTTAATGTGGGCTGTTGGTGTTCAGGTTGTACTTTCAACACTCATCTTTGCAAAGAAAGAAGAGGTATGGGAACATCATCCTTTTATTTGAAAAATAGGAAAATCAGATGTTGTAGATTATTGAGACCTAAACCTATATTAAAACTATATTAAAAGCTAAAGGTAAGTAAATGTCTTTAGGGGAAAAAGGATGAAATAGAAGTACTAGAATTGTATAATAGAAAGGAGACAAGGATCAGATTGGAATGGAGGACAGAGTTCATGTCTTAACTCTGTCTGCAGAAGACTGAGAATGTTGTTGTAAATGACAAAAAATGCGGGGGAACAGGAGATAATACTTAGAGTGGGGAATCCAAAACTGGCCCCCTCAGCCAACCCTGGCTATCACTAATAACCACATCACCGTACTATATTCTGTTCTTGTAAAGAAATATCTTTAGACTTTCTAAAGATACTAATTAGTACTAATTTTAAATTTAGCGATTTCATTAAATAAGATGTACTGAATAATTCATATATTTGTATAGTTATGGCCATAAGTGACAAAATTAAATTAACAGGTGATTTATATTTTTTAAGTTCAAAAAAGCACATAATAAATTGCCTGAAAACTTTTTGGTGACACAACTTACCTCTTTACAGCCTATAGTTACTTTCAAATCTTTAAGAAACTTCAGTATTTCCGTGCAGTCAAGGACTGTTTTTGTATCCTGGGAGACTGTCTTATAACACTAAGACCATGGACTTGAAGTCAGTCCTTAAACCTGCGTCTTCATCTACTACCTTATAGAGTTATCCTTAACTGACAGTTATAAAGTCCCTGTAACAGAGTAGCTGTTTAAGAGTTCTCTACCTGCCCTTATTTGACTTTTAAAAAAGAATTTTTATTTATTTATTTCTTGGATGTGCTGGGTTTTTGTTGCTGCCTGCAGGCCTGCTCTAGTCGCGGTGAGCACAGGCGACTCTTCACTGTGTTGCCCAGGCTTCTTATTGCGATGGCTCTGCTGCAGAGCATGTGCTCTGGGCATGCAGGCTTCAGTAGTCACAGAGCACAGGCTTGGTTTCCCCGAAGCATGCGGGATTTTCCCGGACCAGGGCCTGAACCCATGTGCCCTGCACTGCCACGCGGATTCTTAACCACTGGGCCACCAGGAAAGTCCTCCCTTATTGAATTTTGAAGGTGACCCTGACCAATTCCTATGGTTCCTAGCCTTCAAACTCTCTCTCTCACTTGCACTTGCCTTCTCTCTCTCTCTCTCTCTCTATATATATATATATATATACACACATATCATATATAACATATATATGATATATATGAGCAAAGCAAATTATATATATATATATATATATATATCTCAATGCATAATTAATAGCCAAACCTCAACAAAATCTTTTCTATATAACACCATTGCTTTCCAACTTCATTTGCTCTCTTGTGCTTGGCATCTGTCCTGGGTATCTAATTACCTAGGGCCTATTGTTAATGACTTGACATTTAGATCTAAAATTTCTTCTCTCCACGTGAAAAAATGTGTGTGCATGTGTGTGTGTGCATGCACACACAGTCAAGTGAGTCCTCTAAAGCGGTCTTGATCCCAACACATCATCCTCTAACTTTTGGACCTGGTGATAGAACCTGAATATCAGACTTAAGGACCTTTAACACATGGATACAGTTAATCAATGTCACCCATATTTATTTAAGTATTATTCACATACTCCTCTCCACCTATTTTAGGAATAATAAAATCTCTCATTTAATAATAACTACCATGTGCTAAAGACTGTGATAGGCACTTTATTGGCACTATATTATTGATCCTCATAACAAATCCTAGAGATGCATTGTAAGTCCTGCTTTCTAGAACAGAAAACTGAGGTTTTGAGCCCAGAAATACATGTAAAATATATCATGGCCAAATGACAGAGTCTGAACTCTAACATTTGTTAACCAGTCTTAGATATAGCAGCTTAGTTTATATCACCTTGACTTCTACAGTTCAAACTGGATTAAGCTCTCACGAGCTTTTAAATATTTTATGTCATTTATAATGCTGACTCAGTGTTGGAGATGCACTAGGGCTTCACTGGATATTTTTCACATTGAATATGTGTGAGGGAATTTTATTTATATAGTGATAACCTAGATTATATATGAAAATCATTTTGACTCTTATATGCTAAAGTGTGATTCGTGGGCACTCTCAACCTCCCAAGTTAAGCTTTCAAAGGTAAATGAAGATATGTCTCCATGTCATCACAACAGTATAAAATATAAAAGCATCATTTTCTATTCTGAATAAAAATTAACTCAGAGAATATGTGAAATAGATTATATGAATAACACATTATATCATTCTAAGCTTCTTAGATGTAAGTGTGTAAGAGTTTAACATGTACAGGTGTCTTAATTATTGTAGTATTCCAACAAGTTATTTAGTTTTCATCATTCAAAGATAGCATATTACAATGAGAAAGTATTAGACTAGATTTCAGATGATTTAGGTTTAGAAGTCACACCTCTTCTTCATTCATGTAAACAAAGCAAATATCATATTCTCTTGAGTATCTGTATCATGGTTCATAAAATGAAAATAACATCTGGAAGTTCTATCTTTAACTATTTTTTAGAACCAAATTAGGACTTACTTATGAAAGCCACATAAATTTTTAAATGCTTATATAAGTTTCTTTTGAAAATTACCCATGCAATATCTAGATTTCAAAATAACAATTTCCCCCCACCTTTCAGATATGATTATTTTTGCTTTAGCATTATGAAAAGATAATTTTTAAATCAAAAAGTGTAATTCTTGTAAAATATACAGTAGATTCAGGTCATTAATTTTATTTAACATCTTGATTAATGTGGGAACTATTTTAGATATAAAAACTAATTAGGAGAGTTCAAAGAGAAAACATTTATATAGATGCAAAAACTGACACTAAAAACTGACTTTGAAAGGAAAGGGATCAATTTCATCCCCACCAGGAAAAATTCATCTGCAGTTCCCTCCAACAAAGAATCATTTGAATTGGGATATTGAGACCTACAAATACACAACTTACAAAGTTGTAAAATAAATTAAAGGCTGTCAAAGGTACAGACTCACAGAATCAGAGAACCCTGAAGGTACACTAGAGAAAACCTAGTTTCCATTGAAAAGATCCTCAGTCATCTTTTCCATTTATAAGTCTTTCACAATTTTTCCTGACATTATGAGAAGAAATGTTAGAACCCTTCAACATTGAGGATAGCAGCACATAACTTTCTTCCTAATCATAAAAGAAGTCTAATGTAGTCTTCCTGTAGATCACAGTGTAAAATACCAAAGGTATTCACACTTGCTCATTGCTAAAAATAATGAAGAAAAAAAAAAACACTTAGAAATAAGTTGAAAATAACAAACAGTTTGAATACTTCTTATGAGGAACCATAAGGGAAGTTTCTATCAAGTTTTCATTTTTAATAAAATTTTCAACAGGTTCACCAAGCATGGCATAATAAAATTGATTCCATCATTTCTGAGTATGGATCTGAGGATTTTCCTCAAGATATACCCAAGTGGATGATTCTGAATGCTCTGCAGAAAACAGTAAGATGAAATTATCATAAAAGTAAAAAATTAGACGCCAAAGGTGACAGCTGAGAAGTGGGAAGACAAGGAAGGACAGGGGGTGGGCACAGGAATGTAAGGTTCTTGTATTTCTTCTAAACAAATGAGGTGCAATAGGATTGTCTAAATTTACAGATCTTAAGTTTTACCCTTCTTTTGTAAGGTGTATCTACTTTTCTGGGTCAATTGATGTCTGGTCATTTTAACCTGGATTCAGATGTTAAAAGTGTTGGGAGTCTTCTGCCAACTGTAACAATAACCTACTGTATTGCATCCAGGGGGAGATAAATTCTAAGCCCAATGGCTGCTGACAACAGAGTATCCTGATGGTTCCCATTTGAGCCTGAACATCAGGTTTGCCATGTGCTAACTTTATGATCCTGGATAACAAATCTTCTTAACTTCAGGTACCATATTAACAAAATAGGCAGAATAACCCCTACCTCTGGTTGTCAAGAACAAAGGAAATAATATATTTAATACATAGAAAGCCTTGGATCTTGGAGACAGTAAGCAACCTAATACTTGTTAGTTAATGTTGTTAGGGTTATTATTTCACTGTTCAGATATTTCTTGGCAAGGTAAGGGAATGTGTGTAGTCAGCCAAATGGTTACAAGAATAGATCGGCACAGGAACATAGTAAATGCTTGATAAAAAAAAATAGCAAACATTTACATAGCCCCAGTTCCTTTTTTAGGTGCTTTGCATATATTAACTGCTTAGTCCTCTTAGTCCAATGAGGTAAGAACTATTATCTTCATTTTGTTGATGAAGGTAGAGAAATTCCTAACTTAGCCAGCGTCACATGGCTAATAGATGGCACAGCCAAAATTCAGTCCCTGACAAACTACTCCAGATTTTGTGCTCACGTGCTATACCAGAGTTTCACATAAACAGTTATTATTTTTAGTATGTTTAATAACAGAAATGCTTCTTAGGAGAAATTAAATGTATTATAAACGAATTTATTCACCTTATTTTTTCTTTGGTGTATGTGATCTGAAAAGGTATTGCGTTTTCAGATAGCATTATGACTAATAGTGTATTAAACCTTCCTATGGTCATTAACTGATAATCAGGAAAACACTTCTATATGTATGACATCACTGTCATTAATGAGATTCCAACTTATGTTTCCTAGCCATGAATATCATTGAGCATTGAGATAGTATATGTAGATTTTATTAACTTTCAGTACCCAGTCTCTAAAGTACTATATTAGTCATTCAACATTTCCAAGACTGTTGGCACATACTGCAACATAGGTGGTACTGATGCTATAACTTTCAATAACAAGCCTAGAAAATAATGATCTACTTACTCACTTGCAGTTCAGTTCAGTTCAGTCGCTCAGTCATGTCCGACTCTTTGTGACCCCATGGACCGCAGCACGCCAGGCCTCCCTGTCCATCACCAACTCCCAGAGTCTACCCAAACCCGTGTCCATCGAGTTGGTGATGCCATCCAACCTTCTCATCCTCTGTCGTCCCCTTCTTCTTCTGCCCTCAATCTTTCCCAGCATCAGGGTCTTTTCCAATGAGTCAGCTCTTCGCATCAGGTGAGCAAAGTATTGGAGTTTCAGCTTCAACATCAGTCCTTCCAATGAACACCCAAGACTGATCTCCTTTAGGATGGACTGGTTGGATCTCCTTGCAGTCCAAGGGAGTCTCAAGAGTCTTCTCCAACACCACAGTTCAAAAGCATCAATTCTTCGGCACTCAGCTTTCT